TCTACACAGTTCTAACCTGAACAGAACTCACTTTCAAAGGTATAGTATACATTTATTAGAATCATGTTTTCCAGTTGTACAGACTCTCTCAGAAGCTTATTCATGATTGTAGACTATAATTCAAGTCAAAGTTCATACAGGACTTGTATGTGCTTCTCAGAATTCAAGGGAACCCTTCTACTACATATTACTTACAGACTGACAGTCAAACTGAGTGAGTCAATCAGGAGATTGAGCTCTACCTCCAGATGTTCATTAATCATTAGTAATCAGACTAGTCTGAATAGTTAGCTTTAGCAGAATTTGTACACAATAACTAGTAACACTCTATAACAGGACAGTCTCTGTTCTTCCTCAATCATAAGAGACATCTATACTAGGGGACAGTTCTAAACTAGAACAGTAGTTCTGAATCTGTAACAGACTTTGTAAAACAGATACACAGGACTAGAGAGAATGTACAAGCTCTTTTGGAGAAGATAGTATAGGTTATAAAGCAGAACTATAATTAGAAGAGGTCTGTAGCTAAGGATTACTAGTCTGGTGACAAGGTTATACTAGAAGCTACTAATCTGACCTTAGATTGTCTAATAAAGAAGTTGGACAACAAATGCTTCAGACCCTTTGTTATTGAAAAGAAGGTTAGTGCCTCTACCTACAAACTCTAACTTTTAGCAACATAGAAGCACATACACCTAGTGTTCAATAAGGTTCTGTTGTCTTAGTACTATGATCCCAGTTTTCCTTCACAACAAAGACCCCCTCTACCTCTACCAGAACTCATTAGCTCTAAACTAGAATACAAAGTAGAGTACATAGTAGATACTAAGCTACTGTGTAGAAAACTCAAATTCCTTGTTTACTAGAAAGGGTACCTAGTTGAGGAGCACACTTGGGAACCTACTAAGAACCTTGCTCATACTCTTAAGGCAATCTGAGATTTCTATCAGCTTCATTCTAGTACTCTGTACAAACTCAGCCTTACAGATTTCCAAGCCCTACTATTCTGACCTATACTTAAGCTGCTAACTAAGTCCAATGTTCACTAATCAGAATGATTGGTTTTAGAGGAAGGGTGATGTTACAATTCTCTACTCTCTTACCTTTAGTTCTAAGAGTTCTACACTCTTCTGTACCAGAACTCAGGACTTCTGTCCCTTAGAGGTACTGTCTATAGACTATATGTGTACTAACTCTTACTACTACCCTTCCTTACTTCATCATTCCATTCCTTTGACCACCCCTTCATTCTCTGTTCATTCTATAGTCTCTTACCCTTTGTCCATCCCTTCATTCTTTATACCTTTATCTTTGACATTCCTTTCTTTCATTCTTTATAGCTTATCATTCTTAGTAACTCATACTCTCTGAGTACTCTTGTATAGTTTAGTATATATAGGTGTACAAGATCAGACTGGTCCTGTAGTCTTAATCTTGTCTACTCTAGGTAGTCCTGTACTCTTAGACTCACTCTATATACTCTACTCTTGTCTCACTCTCTCTCTCTGCCTGTTCTGTAAGTTCTGACTATGTTCTAGTACTTACATTCTGTATTTCTGTTGTGTAGGATAGTTGTAGCCTGGGTCCTCTTGCTGAGCCTTCAGGTCCCCTCTACACTGTTACTGACACTCTGTCTACAAACTCTAACTTCTAACAACATAGAAGTGTATACACTCAGTGTTTAATAAGGTTCTATTGTCTTAGTACTATAATCCTAGTTTTCCTTCACAACAAAGACCCTCTCTGCCTCTACCAGAACTTATTGGCTCTAAACCAGAATACAAAGTAGAGTATATAGTAGATACTAAGCTACTATATAGAAAACTCAAATTCCTTGTTTACTAGAAAGGGTACCTAGTTGAGGAGCACACTTAGGAACCTACTGAGAACCTTGCCCATACTTCTAAGACAATCCAAGATTTCTATCAGCTTCATCCTAGTACTCTGTACAAACTTAGCCTTACAGATTTCCAAGCCCTACCATTCTAACCTATGCTCAAACTGCTAACCAAGCCTAATGTTCACCAATCAGAACAATTGGTTTTAGAGAAGGGGTGATGTTATGATTCTCTACTCTTGTACCTTCAGTTCTAAGGGTTCTACACTCTTCTGTACTAGAACTCAGGACTTTTGTCCCTCAGGAGTACTGTCTATAGACTATATACATACTGACTCTTACTACTACCCTTCCTTACTTTATTATTCCATTCCTTTGACCACCCCTTCATTCTTTGTTCATTCTATAGTCTCTTACCCTTTGTCCATCCCTTCATTCTTTATACCTTTATCTTTGACCTTCCTTTCTTTCATTCTTTGTGGCTCATCATTCTTAGTAGCTCATACTCCCTGAGTACTCTTGTATAGTTTAGTATATATAGGTGTACAAGATCAGACTGGTCCTGTAGTCTTGATCTTGTCTACTCTAGATAGTCCTGTACTCTTAGGCTCACTCTATATACTCTACTCTTGTCTCACTCTCTCTCTCTACCTGTTCTGCAAGTTCTAACTATGTTCCAGTGCTTACATTCTGTATTTCTGTTATGTAGGATAGTTGTAGCCTGGGTCCCCTTGCTGAGCCTTCAGGTCCCCTCTACACTGTTGCTGACAATAAGGAAACATAGTGTGAAGACAAAAGAGGAAATGTGTGTAACTCTAGGGTCTACACTAAGGAGGTCTAGGCTTGAGAGAAGGTCCAGGTTTAGAAATGTGGTTCCACACCAGGAGAGGTACATAATAGTATGGAAACTGTTGTAAGCTGTAGGGTAGGCTTACAAAAGCTAGTTAATACAAATAACTTTCCCCTACATATTATGAAGAGATCTTTGCTACCCTATCTTAGTCTTGTGATAGTATCAAAGAAATTGTAAGTAACAAAATGTTAATCAGAAACATTCTTTTTGTATTGAAGTATGTTAGAGAACAATATGTGAGGCTTCTGGGTACAAAAATCACAACAGTAAGCAGTCTAATTTCCCAAAATGCTCAGAATTTTGTATAATTTTCTCACAAATCTTGATGCAATATGCAATAGACTATTTTTGTGCATAATTCCCTTATCCCAAGCTGGGATTAGGCAGAAAGCTATGCAATATTCAATTTATACATTATAATGTGATGCAATAAGGTATTTTCAACTGTACAACAGATAATGGAGACGGAATTGAAAGTGATACTGTTATGTCTTCACTTTATGGACGACTCGAAGCGGGATTGCGACCTAGACGGACATTCCAATGACGGCTCCTTGGTCTCACTGATGTAATCTAGTATTGTAGGAAAGCACGTTGAGTAACAGAAATGAAAACTGTTGATCAATCAAAAACTGAGTTATGCGGGTACCCATTAAAATATTACGATAGAAATTAGGGACTAGATAATTGTGATTAGTGCGTTATTTGTAAAGGTGAAGCTCAGCACACTGCCTCAAGATTTAACGCCAGACAGAGTATCTTACCCAATATAGTGCCACAACACGTACTCATGCTCACGAATAGCATGCGAATGTGAACACCTGTCATTACCAGGAGAGCATCGGAAGAACTAATTTAAAAAAGCACATACGATCGACCCAGGTTGCAGGAAACGTCGACATTATAATTGCCCCTTTTCTCTTGAGACTCCGCATAGTGAGTGTGACGTCTATAAGGAACACTGTTCTTTGCACGTCATTGTGAATACGCGGATATTCTCGGTTCTGAGTCGCCACCATCTCGATGTCCCTAATGGCAAAGGATCTAGGGTAACGGTACAGATAGCCTCCTCTCCAATAGCTTTTGTAATTGCTGTTGCGGTGTTTTGAAACAAAACTTCATTGAACATTACATTACGACATGAAAAAAAGGGTATACAGCAAGGGACTGTCGCATTCTTTGCTTCGACACCAATGACGAGCAAATACATTGTCGTCACGAAGGACGCGCTGCCTGATGAATCATATAAATCAGTATATGACTTTGATGAAAGACATGTAAATGACAAAAATGCAATAGGTCTCAGTGTGTATTGTATGGTTTCGTCCAGTTCCCTTCTTGAACAGAAGTGAATCAGGCTCATTAAATCAGGTTTATGGAATCATAGACCAGAAGATGGCGCAGACATGCAAGATATTGAAGACTTACTGTATATTCTTGTTCCAAGTCCACAGCATGACCTAATACACCAAAGTAAAGAGCATGTAGAACAACGCATGTGCCAGGTTAAGTCGACATGCAACGTCGTCCCAATCGCAACGCAACATTTCCTAGTACTGGACACTCCCTCTTACGGACGAAGCAACAGCCTTGTTAAGGACTGTCAATGGCACTGACTCGACGGTCGGAGGCTGGCGTCAAGCAGCGTGGCATGCCCGTTTGTTGTGAAGAAGAAGGAAAAAAAACAACGCCTTGTACTTTGAGCTTACTAAGCAGTTTGGATGTGTTTGGCACAATGGTGGGTCGATTTTGACATGGCCATCGGAGTCGAACTGTCCTCTATTGTTCATGAATTATATCTATCCTTCAACGATACCCAAGCAAAGTTGTTTGACTGTCTCTTCTACACACTCGTCCTGCACTTTTAATATCTTTTTTCCCACATGGCTGCGTTGTCATATTTCAAGATCCAATAGTGGAAGCTTCGTTTGGTCAAGAGGTTAATCAATCAACTCCCTGGCACTGGTCTCGATATTGTCCTGGGGGAATGCCAATATGCGACTCAATTCTATTCACTTGTCCGCTTGGTTGACTTTGGTTCGCATGTTTATGAGAACGCCAGCAGTCGCGATGCTCCGTGATGCTAGAGCAGATTGAAGGGGTACCAGATCAGGTAACCCTTGTTCAGCAACTACCAAGTCTATGCCAAAAGCCAACGATACGCGGTCGCGATAAGGGATAAGACTACAAGATATGTAGAGCTTGCTCTAGCAGATATCAGAAATCCGTATGGCCTGGGTGTTGTCGTAGAAATCTCAACTCCAAATCGGGCGAACAACCACTTTTCTGCGGATTAGTGGCCAAGGTAAGGCGCATGCCCGCCTTTCTGCTTCGTCCCACTTGTTCTCTCCCTCCTTCACTTAACACACTCTTTTCTCTGCGCTTATCTCAATCCGCGCTTTCGTTTCAATTTTTTACTTCAATCCTGTCTGCAGGGCACGATGAGACTCTCATTTGATTTTTCTCACTCGGCTTGGTCCAGATTTTTCACACATCCAGGCTCCAAACTACTCTCGTAAGGCAGGTTACCCTCAGGATTATATAGTGCTTGACCAGTATATCTCTCCCAGGTTGCCGGAGGAAATTCTCGTTGACGAGATTTTTTCTTGGTTGTCCGTACGCGATATAGTTCGTCTCAGGCAGGTACGTAGAAATTTCGTGAAGTGGTTTAATACGCGTCTGATGTGGCTTAGGTGTGCAAAGCGCTTGCTGTGCTCACGAAGAAACCCGTTATATGGAAGCGCTTCCTCCCGTACATTTCGCAACTGCAGCAACCCCTTGCTCCACTTCCGCCAACGTACATGTACGGTCTCGAACAACTTACTGGTCATGAGATGGAATCAGTTGTTTCGCGCGCTATCACCTATGACAAGACGTGGAAGCAGCATAAAATCGAATATCAAGACACCTGCGAGGTATTCGCGCATCAGCACGTCGAGGAAGTGGTGCTTCTACCAGGTGGACATTATCTCGTAATGTCTGTGAAGTCGTTTGATGGACAATATGGACTGGCTATCTGGTCACTCGGACATAGAGCTACACAGAGGCCAGCACCAGTCCTCTTCCGCCGTACGGAAGTCAGGGCGTATGGTCTTACAGCAAAATACATGAACCTTGGTCCTTTTCATGGTATCGTGGTCGCATTTTTACGCAAACGACATAAATACGATAATGACTCAAGGTATATGTATGTGACCTCTTCTGAAACTTTACCTTAAAGGCTTTACTGAAATGCTCATTAGCCCAGAAACGTTTGAGTTAGGGGGTAAAGAAGACCAAGAGGATCCTTTCATGCCTCTCAAGTATGAATGCACAGCCCTATTTGTCCCCGTAATGCTTCTCGACATTTTCAATGATCGCAAAGCGCGACCCATGACGGACGAATACGCAGAGAGAGTTAAATTGGTCGCCTCAAAAATTGTTGCCACACATGCCATACCTGAAGGCTTGGCCCTTGATATTTGGACCGACGTAGGACGTGTTCGGACCGGAGCGCAGTTAGGCGTGGTCAGCCTCGACGTTATCCAAGACGTACCTGTCATGTGTGTCGTAAAACGACCAAACAAAATTGTCATTCAGCCTTTGGGAAATCTTGTTGACAACCGTTCGGTTTTAGAATGTCTCCCCATTCCGCAATATGGCGAGACTGTAGGTCATCGGTCTCACAAGTAGCTCCTAGTACTGACTTTCTTGATTCATAGCATCACTCTATCTGGAACTTCCGCGTACTTCCAGACCAAAGTCGAATTCTCGTGGTTCGCAACATTACAAAGAATGACGCGGTTGAGATGGAGTCCGACCATCTCGTCTTTGAGACATATGGAATTCCGGATTTCGGAGAAACACTACAACTTGACGCCTGGGGTAGGAACACGCTGACATTGGGTCGCTATCTAAATGTCCAGATATCCGAAGTGCAGCGAACAGTCCCTCCGGACTATGACGATTCTATTACGCCGAACCTCACAAGGGGCCGCTATCCCCAACCCTTGTCAATTTACCTTCGTACAGCGAAAGGTATGGCTCATCATAGCCTGTGGCCCGTTGAGAAAACGGCCCAGCAGATGTTTTTATATCCAACTCCAGAGCAGGAAAGATCCCGACACTTCATCTACTCCTTTGAGAGAACCAGGCACTACTTCATCGGCGACGCGATTGACGATACTTTCGGCGAAGAGATGGATTACGAAAGTGAAGATACTGAGGACAGAAACGGAACTCGCAAGTCACCACCGCGAAGACGTAAAGATGACGCACTGCGTATCCTGCCTGGTGCTCGACGTGCATTCGTTTATGCCATTCCACGGAATTATCGATCGACAGAACCGCCGGTCACTGCATGCTGGGGGTTCCAGTATAATAGGAAGGACTATACGAAGTTTCTCGACGAACCGCCCATGACGAATGCCGAATTTGTGGACACTTGGCCAGAGCTTGAAACACCTGAGTCTTCGCAAGAGATGCCCATCCCAGAAGATACTGACAATCCATACCATCCGAGTCTGGACATTCCTCCTGCAGCCATGGAAAGAGAAACGATGCTTGGACCCATGAAGCTTCCACTCGACCTTCAAGCTAAGCTTCCCTTGGGTCTGTCTGCTGTCTGCTTTGACGAAGACACTGGACGTACCGTATTCGCAACGAAGGCAGATAACCATCTGCATATCGTCGATTTTGCTCACTCTCGTCCGCAAGGTACGTGTTCCCTAATCACTGTAGAACTTGCTCAACCGTGTCACCTCTAACGCTTACCTCACAGATGCTGATGACGCTATGCATAATAAAGAGATGGACGAACGTTTGAAGAACGTGAAAACTCCCTGGGATTGTTTCGCATCGTCCAAGAATACTCGCAATTAAATTTACACTTTGGTTTTATATCACATAACCTGTACTCACATCTCACCCTCCCTTGTCTCAATAGTCTTTTTCATGGACCATCATTCTTGTCTCCTTTCACATTAACCACGGACATTCATTACAATACGTCGATAGTCATTCGACAAAGTTGATAGGAAATAGTCTTTCATTAGAATACCAAGGACGATCTAAAAGAATTTGCGTTATCACAGGAAAGGACGTAGCAATGTATTCTCAGTTATACGACGACTTCACCCTCTACAGCTTCTGCCTCGAGGCCGACTCGCTGAAGGATGGTATCATACCGATCGCGGTCCATATGCTTGATATACTTCAGCATCTTCGCCCTCTGGTGTACCAGTAATCGCAGAGAACGACGTGAATGGACGTCTTTCTTACGTTCCATGAGATGGCTCCAAAGATTACGAATTTTCATTGTCAAGAGAGCAACTTGTTCGTTTAAGTATCAGATACGGTACGTCGGATCACTAGTATAAAAAAAACTCACCCTGCACCTCGGGATAGCCAGAATCATTTGCGTTTTGCGTTGGTGAGAAAGCCGCGATAATTCGTCTACGATTCTCAAATGCAATCCCTCGAGCATTCGCATTCCTCAAATCCACAATACGTGCCAATTGTCGAGCCTTTTCCATCTCCTTCTGGCGAAATTCAGCCAAATGCCTCTGGTCCTCGATGCTTAGATTCTCAGGGTTACCGATGTTGGCCTTAAGTCGATCTTGAAGGTCTGGATCAACTTGCTCAACTTCGGCAACCAAAGAGGTGTCGGGCAAGTGCTTGAAGAAGAATTCAAGCTGTCCCTTTCGATTCTCTACGCCGTCGAGTCCATCCATACCATAGCTTGTATGCTCGGGCAAATTGATTTCAGTGTCGTTCCCCGTTAGTGGAGTGGGCGCAAGGGATCCAAGTTCCTCGGATGTAACGAGTATTTTTGCGAGGTCGCTTTTTCGCCATTTCTTTTCCTCCTCTCCTGGGCGTGTTCCCAGAACGGGATGAGGTCTATTCTCGGCGTAGGTACGAGCTCTCTCCGCCTTCTTTTCGATATTTGTTCTCCGGACAAGACGTGCGGTGCGTTGTTTTTGAGACTCGGCGAGACGAACTGCAGATGTGTGTAGTGCTGCTGTAGAGCGTATCGCAGAAAGGCAATGTGATGACTTTGACGAAGATGCGATGCTCGCTGAGTGAAATATACGTGGATTTAGTTGTGCGTGAATGTCGACCAGAAGGATGCTTCGTACCTAAGGAATTGCCAACTTTGAAGAACGACATTTTTGTTGTCCAGACAAAAAAAATGCCGCGCAGACGTTGAAGTTCTACAGGATCCCTTGACTTCTTTAATGCATCCACTAGACAACGACCAAGGTACTGGGAGTGCTTGAACTGAGGTTGGTGGACAACAGTAATTTCGTCCAAAGAAAAGGATCGACGCGGTGACGGAAAAGAAAAGATGTTCCACGTGACTTTGAGACCTCAAACTAAACCTGACCTGTCAAAATTCCCAAGTTTGTCGCCTTTCATGGTGTTCCCTCTATGCTTTTACAATATTGGGTGTTTCTACAGAATTTATCTTACTAACTCCTAACCGTCCTTTGTGTAATTTAGCAGCAAATCCATCCCCTTACTCAAAATGGTTCTTATTCGCTCATTGCCAATGTTTGGACTTCGTGTGCCACTCGCGATTGATCTCCACGAACTGTGTGCATTCAACACTCGCTCTGCCTCTTTTCTGCCCGGCATTTGAAGTTGACCAAACCAGGAGTGAAGAATATATCGTCAGTTCGTTCCCGATTTCCTTGCTTCCATCTTTATACCCGCTGACTGATTGTGCTCCGGTCCTAGGAATGACTCGTGTTTCATCATGAAACGCGTTGTAGGCAATGAATGGGGTACACGCAGAGTCACGGGTAGAGCAAGGTGGACAATGGCCTTCATTGACAAGAAACGTCTCATTTCGCCTAATTGTGAGGCTGTGGATGCGCCCAGCCGGAATTAAAGTTACATTGTCACTTACATCGTTTTTGCAACGGGAAATAGCCTGCTCAGCGTGGTCATCGAAGCACGACACGCAAAACAAAAAGGGCTCTGTAAAGATAGGATAAACGTGAAGAGCTTAAAGCTGGCATACTACGGTCAATCTTGCCATGAAGGACTATTTGGTACGTTTAGCACACACTAAAATAAATTTAACACTGGTATCTGCTCTATTTCTGTCTTTCCTTCGCAACTTTTCTAATCCAGTCGACTCTCTACCATCAGCAAGAAATAATGAATTAAACGCGAGAGCTTAACCGAATCCACTGTGAAAAAACGAGTTGAGTGTTAATTTCCTATTAAGGCAGTCGACTCTGTTTTTATTCAATCGCGATCTTATTGTCCAGTGGTCAAGAAGTCACTCTTTGTCATACGCACGGATCCTTAAGTCATCTTCTTTTTACACAAATTCCTTTTGTCCTGATAGACTTTAATTTTAACCTTACTTGTGACAAATAACAATGAATACGCTTGATCCGCGTGCTACCATGCCAATTGTCTTGGTGTTGAGGCGACTTCGCACTCCCGAACGGCTGGCAGCGTATGGAGCAAAGAACTGGGAATATAGGTACGTACTTGTGGTCATTCTTATTGTCTCTGGGCGGTAGGTCCTTATATGCTATGTTCCATAACATATCAGTTCATCAGGTCCCGACTTTTTTTCTCTTGCAAGAATGGACTCGCTCGGAAGATTCGGCCTTTTCACGTTAGGCGATTGCAAGTAAGCGATGGTGACGGACATGAGGTCCAAATTTCCGGGAGCTAGCTTGTTATAAAAGAGCGATCAGAGAGCTGCGGATGGTCCTAACGTTCAGACACGACAATAGTCAGAGCGAGTTGTCCTTCTGCGCAATCTACGCACATCCTGCAGTGATGGACTCGTTCTTCAACCTCTCGTCACTTATCTACTCGTCCTCGCCTTCCTCTTCGCCCTCTCAGGAGATGTCAACTCCTGTTGACTCTGAAACTGGAAGCGATAGTGGCACGTACTGTGTCATTGCTTGAACTACGATTCGGACTACGGCACATTCCTACCCATTTCTACCTACATGGCGTCCCTATTTTACGGTTTTGAGAAACATCTTATTTGTGAGGCTTCTGCATTATCTTTGCCTACCCCAAATTGATCTGACTTTTATTACTCGGCAGTGCATAACTTATATCACTTCGCGATTCACTGCGGTTACAATTTCGACCCGCGCATTCGTTGACGTCCTTCCAAGGCCTTGCTCAACGTGTTATTTTGGCTGCTTCTCTTCGACTGGTCGTCTTTCGTTCGAACGTTTTCCCACAACCATCCAGGAGAGACCATTGAATTCTTATTTGTATTATATGCGTTTCATTTCGGAGGACGATGTCGCTTTTCGGATTCTTTGGGAGTGGATGGGGGCGTGATTTGTACTTATATAACGACTGCGACGGTTCTTTATGCACTTTGCACGACCAATCAAGTAATTTGGAATTATGGAGAATCCACTTGTCTTTTAAGAGAAGAGAGGAGTTACTAACGGGTTCCCACCTACAACTATCTGGCTTTTTCCCTGAATCACCACCCGACAATTTTTCTATGACTCAGTGCGTGCACTCGTTGTAATTTTTAAATTTTTTTACGATAGCCTGAGGAACACGTAGAGTTTCATACTGTGCGACTCGGGTTTCACGCTGAACTTTAAGTTCAGCAACAGAGGAAGGTGGATTTTGAAGAAATTTATTTATTTATTCCAGATAATGCTTCCTCGAACGGCTCAGTGTAACAATTTATGTCGAGTTTTGATCGATCAACACGAGTTGCGTCTGTAGCATTGACTCTGGAATGAAACAAATGAACTACTACTATCTGACATGAGGGAGTAAAAAGAGAAAAGTAAAGGTGAAACAAACAAATAAAAATTCAAAAAAAAAAATAATGTAAGTAGCTACAAACTAGACAATCAGAAAGAAAAGCAGGAAGACAAGGTAAGAAAAAGTCCTATAAAAATATATCATATCTCGAATTGTAGCATCAAAAATTACAAGCATACAGCTTTGTATTGCAAACTACATGAAGAAGAAACGGGACGAGGAAGGGTAAGGCGTATAAAGTAGTAGGAAGAAAAAAGGAAGGCAATAATAAAAATTCAAAAGGCGAGTTTAAAAAAAAGGGTTGTAATTGAGTGCGATGTCTACAGGTAATGGAGATAGAGACACGGAGAGGTGGATATGGATATGGATATGGATATGCAAGTAATGACAGAAGGAGGAATACAAACAGAGATGGATTACACAGACTACTCAACTAAACTAATGGAATCCAAATCGGGCGTGTTCGTCCGTCCCAACCTAAGGTAAAGAAAAACAAAAAGAGATTCAAACCTACACTCCATCACTCACATACGCCCAGACAAAGACAACCCCTGCAACACAGACGCTCCAAGGCTCTGCGTCGAGTTCGGCTGTTGCTGAGAGGGAGCGTTATGTTTCTCCTTTTCCCTTTCCTTCTCCTTATCTTTATCCCTCCGCCCCCACCCAAGCATACTACCCGTAAAGCTCAACTTCCGACTCGCACGCTTGAACGGTGTTGTAGGAGGGACAATAGCAGCAGAGAACCGACGCTGCTCACGCTCCTCCTTCGGTATGGACGGGTCGTAAGCGGCAGTTCGCGGACGAGGTAACGGTGAGCGAAGTTCGGAAGGTAGTGGTGGTAGAGGCGCAGTTTCGTCTAGACGCTTGAACGTACCATGCGTTGGTGACTCGGCCGCACCTGCAGTCGAAGGACGCTTGGGCGGTCGAACGTCTGGTAGTCTCCTACTACTACTTTCTACTACTGTTGGACTTCCGCTCAGCGAAGGTTGCGACTTCTTGTGCCCTGGGAGGTGGAATTGGTAAGACATGCCATCATCGCGATGGTGTGAAGACGTATGGGCCGAAGGAGAGAGAGGCGGTACAGCGGATCCATTTTGTCGCAGGATATGAGTATCAGACGAAGAGGAGGCTTGAGGGGATTTAGGAGACACAGGCAGAGATGGGAGGAGTGAAGGCGAATCAGTCATCGCGGAGACTGAAGGACGCGAACTCGATGAACCGTCCGCACCGTCCATAACAACTAATGGTACACGAGAAGAGTTGGTCGATGACGAGAAGCTACCACCATCGTGGTGGTCGGGTGTCCCGTGCCCGTGAGACGTGGCAGGTCGACTCAAGCGATCAGGATTCTTCTCCTTCTCTGGTCGTAAACTGCGTTTGCGAGAGAACCAGCCACTCGTCTTCTCTTTCGGAGCTTTATGCTTCCCATTTGCAATAGTGGGAGGAGGGGTAGTAGTAGAGGTAGAAGCCACGCTCGGCTCAGCGCTCATCTGAGGTGATCCAATAGACGATGGTAAAGGTGGTACGGGAGGGCTAACCACGTCTTGAGCTGCACGTCGGTTCTCTGAGCCGAATGAGGGTTTCGAAGGGCTATGACGGAGGCTACTGAAGAATCCTCCCGACTTGCCATTAGGAGATGTCGCGGTCGGGGTAGGTACGGGTATCGAAATCGTCGCTGAAGTTGAGGTCTCCGCAGGAGGGATGGTAACATGTAAGGGTAGGGGAGACGAGTTGGACGCAACTGCTGGAATAGCTTGTAGTACTGGTGATGCAGGTGTCGCAGGTGCAAATTCACTGGCATCTGAATCGCCCTCGTGGGTGAGCCCAGGCGGAAGCAAAGGAGCCTGCATCGGAGATGCTTCAACTGCGGAATCTGTAGCAGTAGGCTCATCCGTCTTCAACCCGAGCGCCGCTAAATCAAGATCCAGTGCTTGATAGAATAGGACATATGCGGCCCCACTGTTGGAATCTCCGTAATACTTGGAAATATCGGACTCTTTAATCTTTTCGACACTGTCGTCATCAAACACTAGCCAAGATTCGTTTGACTTCACGATTGCGACGTAATGCCCGTGGTACGGCCCGCTGTAAAGGGGTATGGTCAGTCTAACTTTGATAGGAGGCTTTTATACATGTATGATCAACGCACTTTCCAATATGGATAACAATGGCGAAGAGCTCATATAGCCGGTCAGGATCAACTGCATCGTCCGCGGTGTTGAAGAGACGCAGCTCAAGAGGGAAAGCAACACGATATGCCAGTTTGATGTATTTCCCAACATCTTCCTGATACTTGAATCGTTTCAGATGTAAAGCAAGCACGTTTGGTAATCGTTTGATTTTCATCCTACGGCAAGCATAAGCCGACATGCCGCATTCCTTCTAACATGCGGGGAAAACTCACCTCTTCTCCGCTTCTTGCAAGCCACAACAGGAATCACAAAAGAATTTATTCTTCTGGCACAACATCTCGCTTGCACTGAATTGCCGGAGGCAAGCCGTCACGCTTGAGTTTTGCTCGATGTCAATTGACAGATCCAAGAATGCCTCGTCTCGAGATGACACCTGCCACAATAGTCAGCGGCCATACTTAGCATGTGGTAAAGCATACGTACAGTTTCACACGTCAGACACCGAGTCTCGCTGGTGAGCACTCCCTCAAACAAGTCATGCACGATGTTCGAATTCGTCGACGAGTTCGTCCTCGATGTTGCTGTTCCAAGCGTTGAGGGACCCCACGACGTTATTGAATTAGAGACTGTATGAAAATGGTTCGAACGAGCAATAGACAATGTATAAATAGGCTGAGAAGCGCGACTTACGGTCTTCACCTGACGAGCTTCCTGAGCGCACGTTCCGCGCTTCCTCCTCCAGGTCTTCCGCTATTTTATTCAGCAAATAGATAAGAAACTCATGGGCGTCCTGATGCATTGACGACCTGAACAACTCGTTTTCCTTTTTGAGTTTCTCGACGAAGGCCCTGGGAGCGACGACACCCTTGTCCAATGAATTGCTGGATATGTGCACGAAGAGCGCTCGGAGGGCAGAGAACATGGTCGGTGGGGCGATTGGGATGGGCGGGCCGGTGAGAGGCGCAGAGCCATTAGAGTTCGTACTGTCGGATATCTTGTGGACATCAGTTGCAGAGTGCTTTCTCTGATTCTTGGCGCGGGGGTTCGTCGCTATGCTAGATGACGGTGGAGCTGAAGACGCGTACGTGTTCGGGGACACTGGAGGGTTCGATTTGTCGTGCGCTTGGATGATGAGTTCACGAAAGGGATGACAGAAGTACAGAGCCTGGAAGACCGAGTTGACGTAGCTACAGGGCAATGTGTCAATCATTCGCTTTATATGAGGCCTGGGGCAATACATATCGAATTAATTACATACCACGTATTCCCGAACTATGCATAGCCAGAGGGCATGAGTACATCAGTAAGACTTAAGGGGGTTATAGATAATGAAGTGAATGCATACATTCTCCAGCCCAAAGTGCTTGTCTTCAGCCTTGTTGATCGCGGTGGACTTGGCGCGGTCAGTCGATGGCGGACAAGCGGCGCTGGAGCCACTGCTTGAACTAGGTTGGCCAAACCACTTCGCGATGGCCATCACACGACGAGGAGTGAGCTCGACTGTCGCTGTAGGGGAGACGGCAGCAGCGAAGGAGCACTTGCGGTGTGTGTGGACGGAAAGCAGGAAAGTAGTTTGTGGATGCAGAGTGAGCAGGTGATGAGAGCAAGGGCCGTGAGCCAAGCCATCCAATAATCTAATCTACGTAAGCACCAGGTACACATATCATCTTATATAATACTTCCACGTTCCTAGCTATTTAATTTCCTTGTACTCCCCCATCGATTTCTCTGCCAGCCTCGATGTAAGCAACAATCCAAATTCTATCCAGTCAACTCTATCATCACGGACGTAAGCATGCGCCGCCCCCCCTCACCTCTTATGCCTTCCTTTTCCTTCCACTCATATTTGCAAACTGAGTCCAATTCAATAATGATCTCTATCGTCCCAAAATATGCGTCTGCTGCAAGGTAGCGGAACCCCTACTTTTGCCGCTGAATAATGGTCTTCACCACCGTTAAAGCGTCCCCGATACGGACGATACCCTTCACGGCTCCCGGCCCCGTTGGCACGCCATTGCAGCCAAAACACGGCTTGCTCAGACGTGCCGGATCCTTCCCTGTCCGAAACTTCATGAGCACTTTATACGGAATCGCCTGGTCTCGCACACCCGTCTCAGGGTCGACGTTCGGTAGCTTATAATGCGTACACGACCGTGAGTGAGCACATAACGCGGAACTTTTATATCAGAAGATTGCTCTGGGTTTCAGGAGAAGGATAACGTATTAACGTACCAGGCAGCGAGTGCATTTTGAGACGAGTGTGATTGTCGATGTGTTTTCTCCGATTCGTATAGTCTCCCAGGTATCCTCTGCCCATGGAACACCTGCTCCAGCAAGAACGATATTCGGCCTGAACCTATCTTCCGCAATTCGGGCGCATCCGTCCAAGAGAACGCACAGATCAAAGGCAAAATATTCGTGAGACAGGGGAAGAGAACGGTCATTTACGACACTCACCGTTCCATCACAAGGTTATCTGTACCCCAGCGGTCCGCGACTCCCTGATTACCAACTTCGCCACGCAGCCGGGTCTGTACTGCTACCAGGCTTTCTTCGGAAACGACGAGTAAAGGGTACGCATCCTGATATGATGCACTTGCTTTGAGAGCAGGGAAATCGTACGTTGGTGGACAGGGTCGTACTCTTGGCCCTTTGAGAACGAGGTAGACATCTTTGCCGAGGTATTTGGATAACACTCGTGTTGGTGCATCACGGTCTCCAGCGTCAATTGATTGACAAACATAGCCATCTATACCACTCCATGTGAAGAGCTCGATATTGTCTAACCTTTATCTCGGTTAGCACGAGCGAACCTCTTTTTATTATTTTTTATTGAAACTGAACAAACGACCTACCTTTTCCAGGTCCTCAAAACTTCGTCCGTGGGACTGAGCGGTATCGAGAATTGCTCAAAGCCGCTTTCATCGGGGAATGAGATGTGAATTCGTCCACCATGTTGATCCAGCTTGTCAACAATGAGCTGAGGGTATATGAGTACCATCTACAAGGAAACATCAATAGAATTCTTAATTCTTTTTTAAAACTTGCTCATTGAATAACTTACCTGAGGCAGCTCCCGTGCAGTGATTATTCTATGCGTCTTCGCATCGATAATAGCGAGTTTCCTGTCATGCTACAACAAACCCAAGTAATCAAATTAGCACACACAAATAATATAAATATAAAGAAAAATGTAAAGCGGAAGAAAGACTCACCACCAAACCTTCCTCGGTATACTCGGCTTCTAACACCGAAGTACCACGGCAACTCTTCCGACATCCGACCATGACACAAATGACACCACATATCCCATGTCAGCCCAACTCAACCCATCACAGCTCGCAACCTAAAATTAAACTCACCTTGATTGGATGTATAAGCAACTTGGTCACTTTTATATTGGCATAGTCGACATTCTCAAGCGGGTCAGCCTCCCTCGAACTCGCACTAGTACTAGTATCATCGTGTGAGGTGGTTGGTGTCCTCTTATACCAAAACTGCACGAATGAGAGACAAAGAGTCGCAAAAACAGCAGCTAGAGAGATGTACAAGTCCTTTGACGTCACGTTTTCATGCAAGAGTACTAGTTCACGAGGAAAATCTACAAGAGCAGTCGTCGTCAGGTTGAACATGACTCCTGGTGGGCTCTGTAGTTTAGTGTAGGTGGGAGAAAATGAGAGAGTTAAGATCCGTTCGTTCTACTCAAGCACAGTCGGGGTCAGACTAGTAGGCGAAGGTTTGCACGCCGTAATGATAACAGCGAACGGAAAATCAGGAGCTTTTTTACCATGCCTTTAGCGGGTTGTGCGTAATCTTATACAAAAGAAGTATGGTGGAAGAGCCAAGATTTTAGTTTTAGTTAAAAACGTGGAATTTTAATTGGTTTGAGATATTTTGACACGCATATAATGATATATGGACATTGGGTGACTTCCCATAAGCATATTTAGCTTTTTTCTCAAATCCTAAACTGCTGGGTGACATCGGTTGAGTGTAAGCGAGAGTAAGCGAAGCAGGAACCGAATAACACTCACTTTTCACTACACTCCAAAATTGAGAATCTGAAGGAGGGGTCCGACCCCCCTCTTCAGACTCGACACACAAGAAATCCTATCCTAAAGCACTTTAGCCAACACTTATAGTAATTGTGCCTGAGCTACTGTCATTTTGTCATCAAAATTAACTCCATTTAGTCTCTTATGTAATGGAATCTGCCTCTGACTTAGTTGACCGGAATCTGACTGTTTTTTCTGTGTTACGGTTTGAAGTTCCTTACTTCTATTTCGCTTAAAATTTTGTTTGGTCTGTCTGGAGTTTAGAAACATCGAAATTCCTTACGGGAAGTCACCCAATGCTCAAGAGTCGCACGGCAGTAAATGCTTTTAACTGATTGAATTCCTATCATTTTAAGACAGAAGTAGAGAAATGCGATTTACACGGTACACGAGATGAGCTTCCTACGACAATCGCGCGAAATACCATGACCATCTGTTGAATTCTGTTCAGGCAGTACGCAAAATGAGGTGAACGCCACTATCAGTTTCGACGACGCTGGACATCTGGCCAATCTCAAGACCGTAAGCTGCTTCCTCGAATGGTTTCTGCATCATCCCGCGTTGGAACCAACCGAGGTCACCGCGATTGGAGTGTGAAGAGCAGTCGGAGTGTTTGGACGCGAGTTCACCGAATTTGTCGGGGCTGTTGTCGATTTGCGCTTCGTATTGGCGTAGTAGCTCGATTGCCTCTTCTTTTGAACGTGTGATTGTTTCCTAGAAGTTGGAATATAAGATAATGGGTTTAGAGATACGGAAATGAATAAATAGCATTGGTGTGCGTACCTCTTTCCAGCTCGAAGGCCGACGGCTGCCTCTATGCTTCACAAGCAGATGGCTGGCACGAACTTGCTCGACTTTCTTGCCATCGAGGTTAAGGAGATCTGCACCAGGCAAGGTCTTGATTTCATCAAGTGAAAGACCAGGAGGGTTCGTCCAGCTGGATTCCTGCGAGTCCTTGTTGAAGAAGTAAGGCTGCTGACGCGACCGCGACATTCGCACTTCCCATGGGATCATGTCGGCCTAGCCCCGTGCAGAACAGAGAAACAGTCAGCCAGGCTCCCGGTAGCTAGGTGGGACACATAGAGACGCACCATGATTTTACCTGGTCCGGGGCGCAAGGGAGACAGACGAACGTGCAAGGCGTTTGTGTTGAGTGATGAGGTGGACGATGTGACGGATTCGGAAGCTGGAGCGAGGTTGTTGCGTGTGCTTCGGTATGGGAAATGGAAATAAAAGCAAGTCCGCTAGCGAGGCGTCCGCATCGCGCGCTATCGCAGGGCCATCGTCGCTTTCAGCGAGGGCGCCGTCGCATAGCGTTCTGTCGAGAACACAGCAGGTGATTCAGCGGGTCGGCTAGAAATATAGTGAGCGAGAGATAGACAAGGCACAACGAACGTGTAGAAATGATGCCAAAACTATAATAATATTAGTTAAGACCAGTGACGTTGTCCCAAAACGGACGCCGAATACTAAGCCCAGGTAGCCGCACTAACTTGACTCTCTTACTTTGAGACTGCACCAGTCTGCATCTTGCTTGCTCTCAACCACCGCCATCCACCATGAGCCTCGCGCAGCCCCAACACCCGCCCGACGAACACCTGCCTCAGCTCGACCAAGATGGCCCCCTCTTCGACTTCTACCCACCCCGTACAGACGCCCCGCCTGAACAACGCATCTCCACTTCGCTTAGCTCGAAATCCCACCTCCAACAAGCTGACGGGTTTGGCACACTTCCCTCGCGAGCATCTCAACCTGACTCGGTGCGCTCGCACCGCTCATTGCACGGGGATGCGATAGCCACGCCACCGAATAACGGCGGGTATGCGGACGAGCCGCAGCAGTACGGGCCACAACCGATGACGGATCGGCAGTCGCGTCTCCCGCCGCCCCCGCCGCAGGCCAATTATTCAGACGAAGACCAGGGCGGCACACCGTCTCCCGCCGCAGACGACGACGACTTCTTTTCTCAAAACCAGCATGGGTACGAGCAGCCGTACATCCCTCCCTCGATCTCTGGACGCTCGCAACACGACTCTTCGCCCCAGCCGCAGGCCCCGTTGCTAGACCATTCTCACCTTCGCCCAGGTAACCAGGCCGCTCTTCTTAGTCACGAACGGACTCTTGAGCTCTACCGTGCAAATGCGAAGAAGACGCAGGACCCGGAAATTCAGTTCGAATTTGCAGTGTTCATGATTGATGCCTCCAAATCAATGCCTATTCCAGCCGAAACGCCAAGTAATGTTATGGAAGTTGAAAAGGCTCTGGAAAAACGGGACGACCTAATTCGTGAAGCTATTACTCTACTGAAGCGACTGGCTGACCGCGGCCATGGACCATCGCAATATTTCCTGGCAGACTGCTATGCTAATGGCATTGGAACAGCGAAGGGCAAACAAGATTTCGACCGTGCTTATCCGATGTTCGTTCTCGCTGCTAAACATGGACATCCTGATGCTGCCTATCGAGCAGGTACCTGCTGTGAGAATGGCTGGGGCTGTCGGCGGGAATCTGCCAAGGCTGTGCAATTTTTCCGGAAGGCCGCCGCGTCTCTTCATCCCGGTGCCATGTATCGTCTAGGCATCGCAGAGTTGAACGGGGAACTCGGACTTTCAAAGCGCCCAAAGGAAGGTGTGAAGTGGCTTAAGCGCTCAGCCGAACACGCAACAGCAGAGTTCCCTCATGCACTGCACGAACTTGCTTTGTTGCATGAAAGGGGCATTGATAACGTTGTCTTCGTTGACTACGAATACGCAGCCGAACTACTGGCACAGGCCGCTGAACTCGGTTATGCACCCAGTGCCTACCGACTAGGGGAATGCTACGAATACGGAAAGATGGGGTGCCCACAGGATCCCGCACTGTCAATACATTATTATGTACGTCATTTTCTTTCATGCTTTTTTTCTCATCCCTAATTTCCATCATAGAACATTGCTGCTCAGCAAAGCCACCGGGATGCGTGCTTCGCACTGACCGCTTGGTACCTGGTTGGATCACCGGGTGTACTGCCTCAATCTGATACGGAGGCATTCTTGTGGGCGCAGAAAGCTGCTGAGGCAGGGCTGGTAAAGGCAATGTATGCTGTGGGATACTTCCTTGAGGTGGGGATAGGTACGGCGCCCAACATGAACGAGTGCGCCATACGTCTCAGAGCTCACTACTAAGCATCATCATGCTAATTATTCTTGTGCTATTTTTATAGAGGGTTGCAATGGTACAAGAAGGCGGCCGATCAGGGTGACAAGCGGGCACAGCAACGACTCAAAGCTCCGCACAGTGGACCAATCCCTCAGCCTGGCGGACATGGTGCTGTATTGCGCAGGGAAGGACCAGGAAGTCCAGGGGGCATGACAGGATCAAAGTCGGGGAAAGACAACAAGGACTGCGTGATCATGTAAAAAACGATGATTGCTTCCGTATCTCCCAGCCCTGCCATTAAACTCCGTACCTTCCTCCTCCCGGACTATTCTTTGCTTCCCGCTACATTCATCCATACACACGGACACGCACTGCCTCGCTTCTCTACCTGTTCGCCATACATACATAATTCTCGGTCTGCCGCCCCTCGAACTGTTCCTTTGTCACATAGCTTCTTTTCATGCGCTGCTACATAGAGTATTCCACCCAGTATAGTTTATCTCCCGGTTAGTACATTTCTGTCGGATTCGGACACATCATCGCCTGTATTCCCCAACCCATCTGCTATCATTCATTTTCTATCTCTATCATTCAAATTGCATTGTTTGGTTTTTATGGAGAATATAATTTCTGGTTTCCATGCGTCAATGCTCAGCACGTGGACGTGAATCACGTTTTTTCCCCGCGTCGCGGATCTTGCGGTCACGCGCTCGCCACGATCAGCACTGCATCATACCAGGCTTACAAGCTACTCTCTTTCGTACGACGACGTAGACATGCTTGCCTCGACGTCTCGTACTTCGTCTGCTAGACCTTTGAGCTCGTTGAGGCTTCTAGCAAGTGTTAATGGGATGAGAAATTCTAGTCTTATTCGCCGCAGAGGTGTAAGGAGCTCCGTGGGCCTGAGGCTGCGGAACGCGTCCTCAAGCCCCGCGTTATTGCGAGAGTTGAAGTCTCTGAGCTTGGTGTTTACCAAGCAAAGGAGACATCTTGCTTCTGGTGAGCTTTGATTTACCATTCCGAACAATAGTGCTAGCTTCTGACTTAATAAATGTAGTTGCTAGTGCACCGCATGCACAGGAACGACTTCCATTGTTTGACAAGATACTTATTGCTAATAGGTACGTCATGATTAATCTCTCACAATTTCTTCGCTCTTATCAGACTAATTTATGAAATTCATATGTAGAGGAGAGATTGCATGCAGAGTGATTCGGACGGCGAGACGTCTTGGGATTAAGACAGTTGCGGTTTATAGTGAGGTGGATAGTGAGGCTTTGCATGTTAAGATGGTGAGCTTCTCTTTGGTCTATTCTTTGATGATAATAGTGAGGTTAAGTAAATCGTGCATAGGCGGATGAGGCGTATTGCATCGGGCCGGCTCTGTCCTCTGAGAGTTATGTAAGTTCTTTTCGCGTGCATTTGTGGTTCCGTTCGGTAACGATCTTGGATGCGTAGCTTCGTGTAGATAAAATATTAGACGTTGCACGAAGAAGCGGTGCTCAAGTAAGTTGATCCTTCTATTGTATAGAAGACAAATACAACGTTAATCATCGCATATAGGCTGTTCATCCGGGGTACGTTTCCCGTGCATCCTAGACCTCGACTTCCTAGGCTCTAATTGATCTTGTTTAGTTATGGGTTCTTGAGTGAGAACGCCGATTTTGCGAGGCGATTGGGTGAAGAGGGTATTGTATTTATTGGACCATCTCCTTCCTCTATTGAGAGCATGGGTTCGAAAAGGTATGAATACTCTACCCGTAATAGCGTGCTACTCTCGCCTTACATGTACCGTTTCAAGTGAATCGAAGGATATAATGACCTCCGCTGGCGTTCCCTGCGTTCCCGGTTATCACGGCACCGACCAATCACCCTCACGCTTACAATCCGAAGCATCACAAATTGGATATCCAGTACTCATCAAAGCCGTCATGGGCGGTGGCGGGAAGGGAATGCGTATCGTGCACTCCGCAGCTGACTTTCCCGACGCGCTCGAGTCTGCAAGGCGCGAGGCAAAGAAGAGTTTCGGTGATGAGCGCGTGCTTGTCGAGAAGTATATTGTTAGACCGAGGCATATTGAGGTGCAGGTGTTTGGGGATAGTTTTGGGAATGTTGTGAGTCTTTGGGAGAGGGATTGTTCGGTTCAGAGGAGGCATCAGAAGATTATTGAAGAGGTGTGTGTTCCTAGTGATTTTAATTTAAGTTAGCACTGTTCTTAAGTTAGGTGTTTAGGCACCCGCACCGGGTTTATCAGAAGAGCTCCGGATTGACCTTTGCGAGAAAGCCGTGGCTGCTGCTAAGGCGGTTGATTACTTGGGAGCTGGGACAGTAGAATTCATTCTGGATAACGATACTGAACAGTTCTACTTCATGGAAATGTACGTGCATTGTTAGGTTTCTGAATTCTAGCCTTATAAAGAGTGAATGTAACTTTATAGGAACACGCGATTACAGGTCGAAGTAAGGAAAAGGCGGTTTTACCTCACAGCACAGACTAATTAGTTGCTTCTAGCACCCCGTCACAGAAATGATCACAAGCCAGGATCTTGTCGAGTGGCAACTTGAGGTACGTTTGATTTTTCAGTGACTGATGAGTGTCAGTGCTGAAGCTTGCATCAGGTGGCATCTGGCAACCCCCTCCCCATGGATCAATCTCAAATCCCTCGCATCGGTCACGCATTCGAAGCACGAATATACGCAGAGAACCCACGTAACAACTTCCTACCCGACGTTGGACCACTCCTTCACCTCTCAACACCTCCACCTTCCGCATCTGTTCGCTTAGAAGAAGGTTTCTTACAAGGCTCGAATATAGAACTTTATTACGATCCGTTAATTTCTAAATTGGTTGTGCATGGGAGAGATAGGACGGAGGCGTTGCGTGTTTTGAGGAAGGCGCTTGAGGAGTATCGGGTTGTTGGTGTTTCGACGAATGTTGAGTTTTTGAGGACGTTGGCGGGGAATGAGCATTTTGTTGCTGGGGAGGTGGAGACTGGGTTCATTCCTGTAAGTTGTTCATCGTATTTGGATCGCTTAAAGTGGTGTACGTGATACGCTGATATGTGATACCACATTCATTAGAAACACTTCGACGAGCTTTTCCCGCCATTACCACAACCACCGCCAGAGGCTCTTGCACAAGCAGCTTTATACGTTGTTCTGCAGGACTTACCGTCTCCTGCTCCTACATCCTCCTCTTCGCCCTGGGTTTCTCTAGGACCACGTCGGTTCGGAGGTGACGTTAGCGAACGTATCGTAACACTGCAATTCGACGACGGATCTGCTAGTGACAACCAAACGTCTACTGCGACTGTAAACGTCAAGTTTGTTGGTCAAGGATTATTCGACATCGTTGTCAACACAGCATCTTCACAAACAGAATTCTTATCCGTCCCTGCCCAACTAGCTTCTCCTACGTCTGTATTATCGACCTTGAGAGACCAGAAACTACGCACGACCATCATCTCCCAACCCCCTCCACCAAACACACCCGCTTCACTCCTCTCAGGCTCCTCACGCCTACACATCTTCCACAACTCCCATCGTTTCCTGCTCCGCCTCCCTGCTCCGCGTTGGCTCCAACTCATCGGACACGAGACTCAATCAAGACTTTCTGGAGGAGGGGGAAGTATAAGAGCGCCAATGCCGAGTCTCGTTGTGGATGTACGTGTGAAGGTGGGTGAGAGAGTGGAGAAGGGACAGGTGTGTGTTGTGTTGGAGAGTATGAAGACTGAGACTGCGTTGAGGGCTGCTGTGGGTGGTGTTGTGAGGGGTGTTGGGTGTAGGAAGGGGGAGATGGTGGAGGAGGGGAGGGAGTTGGTTGAGATTGAAGCGGAGGGTGAGAAGGAAGGTGAAGCAGTGTGAAGGGAGTTGACTTGGGATTGAATATTACATTTTCGACATTTTGTGTATGTGTAACTTACAAACAACACATTGTACAAAGGATAAATAAATATATCAATATTCAGTTCTACTCGAACCTCCGGTACATAAACTTAGTGGATAGCACAGCATAACCACGTTCACTCAACTAACCTATAAAGACAAAACAACTTGAAGTATATATGATAAGGAAGGATACCGAAAACTGACAGCATACAAATCTATGTACACAGAGTGAAGATTAGGTATATAAGAAAAACCATCCGCCTTTCTTTTCTTTTCGTTTTTCTCCTTTTTTTCATTTAAACGTCCGTATTCGTCATGAGTCGTGAGTTTATACGTAGTCCATCCACCAAATCCCCGTCCATCTCATTCCTTCATCATGAACTCTAAGCGGTCTTCACTTCAGGAGTAGGAGCAGGGGCACCATTCACAAGAGGAGCCTTCGCATTACCCTTCGCAATAGACGCCAATTGGGGAAGGTCACCACTAATAAACGGTCCATCAAGTCCTTGCGGGTTCCGAAGTTGCCAATTCCACAAATCGCGACACATCGTCTCCAAGTCCTGCGGTGCGCTGAACCCGAGTTCTTTCTCTGCGAGGGAGGGCTCGGCGATGAGGTATGGTACGTCTCCTTTGCTGTGGGTTCGTTCAATTTCGTTTATCCACGGGGAGGGTTAAGTTAATATTAATAAAAATCAATAAATACTCGAATTATTGGGAAAGGGAAAGAACATGGGAGGTGAACGCACCGACGACCAATAATCTCATACTTGAAATCAAACCCAGTAGCTTTCCGCATCGCTTCAAGGATATCCAACACGCTCATTCCTTTACCCTTTCCGAGGTTATACGCCTTGTACCGTCCCGCGCCGGGTGTGGTCGGCCAACTAGCGAAGTTTGAGGAATCGTCAAGCGCGTTGAGCGCTAGAATGTGTCCTGAAGCGAGATCGAGGACGTGTAAGTAATCGCGAACGCATGTGCCGTCGCTACATGTTTTTGTTGTTTGTTTTTCCACGTTGAGCGCATGTGCGATTGGTATAACATATAATATGTAATCGGTTCGATTGTCGATCGCATTTTGATTCGATTCGCGGGATTCGAGTTAGCCAAACTAAGCTATTTTAATATCAAGACGAATATGCGAGAGAAACGTACTGAGTGGGGTAGTCGTTCCCGAAGACTTTTAGGGTGTCTTCTTTGATACGTCCGCAGGCCATGTGTGCGAGGAGGGGGAGGAGGTTGCCTGGTCGGCCTTTTGGTTCTTCGCCGAAGAGACCTGAGGGGTGTGCACCTGCGGGACTGCGGAGTAAATATTGAGTGAGTATAAGGGGACGTGAGGACGAGTGTGTTGAAGACGAACTTGAAGTATCGGAGGGATATCGAGCGCCATCGGTCCGGGTACGCTACATAACATGTGCGAATTATTTAACGAAATCACATTTTGATCGGGGAACATGCGTACCTGCACATAAATCTTCGAGGATCGTCTCGCACATAACTTTAGTCTTCCCGTATGGACTGTCCGCTTTCAGCCGCGTCGTTTCGGGAATGGGTATCTCGGGAGGTGTTCCGTAGACGGTTGCTGAAGAGGAGTAGACCATGCGCGGACAATCATACTCGTCCATAATTTGAAGGAGGTTTATCGTTGCGAGGACGTTGTTGGCGTAGTATGTTAAGGGGATAACGGTTGACTCGCCCACGGCTTTGTAGGCCTATTAGTTTGTTTATGAGATGGCTTGTTCCAGTGTAAAATTCATTGACAGACAGACGCACCGCAACATGAATCACACCCCAAATCCCGTCCTTCCCGTACTTATCAAAAACAGACCTAATCTCCTCTGGCTTCGTAAGATCACACCTATGTACATCGATCACTGCGCTTTCCTCTTCTTCCGGCGAGGCGTCAGGAGGAAGTTCGGACTGGACGAGTTGAGACACGCGTTTAAGCGCAGCAGGGTACGCGTTGTGATAATTATCAATCGATATAACCTTATACCGCCGAGTCTCAATGAGTTTGTAGACGATGTGCGAGCCTAAATCGCATTTGAATGTGCATCAGTGATGTGCCTATGAATAACTTGCGAAAGGGGGTAAGTCGATAAGTCGTACCTATATAACCCGCGCCGCCAGTGACGATGACTCGCTATAACAAACACCAGCATAAATATCGTACAATCTAAAGAGACATTAGATGCGTGATACCTTGAGTGGCTCGGACGATGAAGACATGACAATCTAGCAGTCTAGAGAGGAAGATAGTAGTTGGCAAGGGGAAGAAAGCAGAGAGCTATTATATTAGCGCACTTTTTTGAGGGTGAATGTAAATTTACTGCGCTAGACATTGTCGATCCATTCGCAGCTAAATATGTCAGTCGGCAAAGTGGTCCGCATACACCGTGTACTGCACCGCGTACGGCCCGCCATATACATTACTTTCCTCAAACCTCCGAACACTCGTGCTCTCAAACTCAGTAGCATTCAAACCTTCTACTTATATTGTTTCGCTGTGATTTCCTTGCCTTTGAGGTCCAATGAGGAGGATCTTTCCGGACGGGACTAATATTGGGATTCCGGCTTTATCCTTTTATCAAGCCTCTGAGAAGAAATACCTGATTCTTTGGTTGTGATTGCCCAAGCATTGTCATTGATAAAACCAGGCACCTTCCGCTATGACCACACTGTCCAATAACTAAGATGTAAACAGGGTCAAATAGATCATATTTTTTCGACAATTAGTTACACCGCAGGCAAACATAAGCAGTTTAGCTGAACAAGATCACGGCGGGGACTATATTGTTTCTTTTTTCCGCCGGATAATAATAAGCAACAGGATTCTCAATATTCGTTAGAGCGTTAGACTGAGATACAAGTACATGCAGACAGATTCGCAGCAGTTACGATGGCATTATTCATTGCCGTGCACTGAGGGAGTACGATCAGTAAACGAAGGTTTACGCACGAGTAAAGGCAACTCACCATTTAGCAGCTTTTGTAGTTTACTGCCCGCACGAAGACATTCAAGCCCGGTGACGGGAGCCAGAACCGTGGCGGCGTGCCTCCAGGCGTCCGCGGCCGCGAGAGCCAGATCCATGGCGGCGAGCTTCAAGACGGGCATGGCTGCGTCCACGAGATCCTGATCCATGGCGACGAGCCTCAAGACGAGCATGGCTGCGTCCGCGCGAACCAGAGCCGTGACGGCGGGCTTCGAGACGAGCATGGCTGCGTCCACGTGAGCCTGATCCATGGCGGCGAGCTTCAAGTCTAGCATGGCTACGTCCACGGGAACCTGATCCATGGCGGCGCGCCTCGAGGCGGTTGTGGCTCCGCCCACGAGAACCGGAGCCGTGACGGCGTGCCTCTAGATCGCGGCGATTATGGCTCCTTCCGCGTGAGCCTGATCCATGGCGGCGAGCTTCCAGACGCGCATGGCTGCGTCCACGGGAGCCAGAACCATAGCGGCGGGCTTCAAGGCGGGCATGGCTGCGTCCACGGGATCCTGAACCGTGACGGCGGGCTTCCAGGTCACGACGACCATGGCTCGAGCCATGGCGGCGCGCCTCAAGACGGGAACGAGAGCCCGAATCACCGTGACGGCGCGCCTCAAGGCGGGCATGGCTGCGGCCGCGAGAACCTGATCCATGGCGGCGTGCTTCGAGGCGGGAACGAGATCCCGAGCCATGACGACGCGCTTCAAGACGAGAGCGAGAGCCGGAGCCATGGCGGCGCGCCTCGACACGGGAACGAGAGCCCGAATCACCGTGGCGGCGTGCCTCAAGGCGGCCGCGGCCGCGAGAACCAGAGCCATGACGGCGCGCCTCGAGACGAGAGCGAGAGCCCGAATCACCGTGACGGCGCGCCTCAAGACGGGAGCGAGAGCCTGAATCACCGTGACGGCGCGCCTCAAGACGAGAACGAGAGCCTGAATCGCCGTGACGGCGTTTCGCAAGGTGGCTTCTGCCGCGCGATCCGGAGTCACCATGACGGCGCCTGCAGCATATAATCAGTAATATTCGAGAGATGAGATTACAGATGATACTGACTTTGCGAGGTGGCTCCTTCCACGAGAGCCTGAGCCGTGTCTTGGGTCTCTGGCGAGCACTTTGACAGGGCTACGACCTCTCATAAGAGGCTCACGAACCTCAAGGTCGAAGGTCGCACCGCTGAGCGCAGTCGATCCAGGAACCTAACATTGATATTTAGAATAATACGTGTTTTAGACTTAATAGTGAACTTACTGGATGCGCTGCAGCGGCGGTCATGACCGCAGCCAAAACAAAGAGGACGAAGTTCTGTTTGAACTGCATAGTGTTAAGCAGTAATTGCTATTGAGTGTGAGCACGTAAAGTTGCTTGAAGGTGCTTAAGGCTGCTGAAGCTGTTGGACCTCGAAGGCTGGAGAATGAACAAAGCAGTAAATTCGCCCTTTTATACCTGAAGCTACATAGCTGTTGGAGACGTTCCCAAATGGCGTGCGCAGGTCCTAGGCGGGAAAACACGCGGAAATGAGCTTGGCATCATCGGGCGCGGATATGTAGAGAACAGCAAAAGTGACAGAAAAGGCGCAAGAAGGCGGCGTCGGTGGTGCGAATAATAGATCCCGAAGTCCCTGGGAGCACGGTATTTTTAGACGCATCATCTTCTAATATGCTATTGGCCTCGCCTTTAAGTCCCAAGGTGGTTCACACAGAACCCAGAATGTCTTTCCAACACGTTGGTTTCCAAAAACGTGTGGCGCGCCCTCAGGACCTTTGCTTGGCTGCTCCAGCTGCGCGCCTGCTGATTTACGGACACTCATCAGCGAGGAGATATGTGAAAAAGATCGTGACATGAAACTAGGAAAAGCGCAACAGGCAAATTACTTGCTGTGTTGTGCGTTGCAGGGACACGAGTCAGTGGTAACTTCACATGCAAAAAGCCTAATTATCACTGGTTGAGACCCAGATCCATGGGTGAAATTGTCGGGGGAGCATCATTGAATCAGTCCAAAGGTCCGCGCTGAAGGAGACTCCACCATGGCGTGTGGGTATTGCGCAGCAGGGGTAGTCAGAACATGTCGTTGTCATGTCGTAAACAGTAAAACAGCACGCGACCTGTTCTTGGCTACTTCCTCAACATGTCTTAATTTTCTCATTGGCTTCGAAGACAACCAGTTTCATCCTGTGATCGACTACCAGATGTGCTTCTGCTTCTCTCATGCTTTGAGAGTGCAACAAGGTGAGAATTATTAGACTTGCAATGTCTGTGTTAAGTACGAAACTCGCGCAGAAGGGTCCACTGTATTGCATCGCCAAGGAGTCGCATCTTCGACTGTAGTTGATGAACTGTATAGGGCAGAATTGAAAGGCAAAAGAAGCGTGGTACTGCCTAAAGCCAAGATTTCACGAGATCTCGTAATAGCACAAACTCCAGTGGGATTGAGGCACAGGAAAGGCCTAGGTTGGAGATCGAGAAAAAAAAATAAACCGCCAAGAAATAATGAATCAGCGCATACCTAAAACTCGCACTGCAAGGATGAATAATCCACCGTATTACGCAGCACATCGTCATCAATGATATTCTTGGATTGCCGACGCGAGAGTTCAAAGTCGTCCTAGGAGGCTCAGAGAATGGTCGTGTGCCATCTTGCGCAGGCCAAGTGTACTTGCGACCACATGTTCCAAAGTGAGCAACAGTCCTGGAGGACCAAGCCAGGTCAGTTAGCATGCATGTGAGAGTTACACGAAGCATTGGGGTGGTTTCTAACGGCCGAATCAACTCGCAGTTCGGAGTTATGATTAAACCAGTGCTTCTCATAGCGTATTGTGAGAGCACGGAAGTCGCGAGATGAGGTGATCGCAAGGAGTATAGAACCGTGAGAGGGAATAATGGTTCATCACAAGCTTCGAATTGCGTATAATGCAGAAAGGTACAAAAGACATGTTGACGCCAAGTTGGATGTTCGGTAGTATTGCGAATTTGAACTAAAGCCAGGGCTTTACACACGGAAGCAATTAGCGCGTGTACAAGGCGCTACGCCCATTTACATCGTAAAAATCATGAGTCCACTGGCATAGCATTGTTTTCCATGCTGTCAGAAGGTTTCAGCGTGTCCTTGGCGACCTCCAGCTTGGTGGACTCCTGAGTAGATGTAGCCTCTGCAGAAATGTCTTTCTGCCCAGTTTGAGGCATAGGTGCACTATCTGTGTTGGTTGGAGCAGATGGAGTATTACCGCGATCAGGGCCTGAGGCTGGTTGCGACTCGCCTCGCTGCAACCTTTCTTTCTCCTTCTCGATCTCTTGTGCAAGGAGAACAGCATCTCCACTCCCAATTTTACCAAAGTGATGTAAATATTCGTCCCGCGCAAGTCGGAGTGCCAACCATGATAAGCGTAGCTTGGTCTGAGAATAATAATGAGTACTGCTGCTGCTCTTGCACATAATTAATGGAAACTAGACATACTTCTTCGGCCTTCATGATCATGGGATCAGTTTGTTCTGGAGGACGTACTACAATGGCTGGCGTGGGAGCAGCTATAGGTTGTGGTGTTGCAGCAGCTGGCACAGGGGTTGGTTGAGCTGGTGAGGCAGACGCAGGCAACTGTGTCCCAGGTTTAGCAGGCAAAGACGGGTGAAGAGGAGGACTTGATGCAGAAGGTGGAGGAGGACGTTGAGGAATTGGTGCGACAGGAGTAGAAGCTGGGGTTGGAGGTTGATTTACGGGTTGAGAACCAGCAGAAGTTGCGGGCGCCGGAGAGGGCGTTGCTGGCTTGCTGGCTGCCATCGCGCGTGCTCGAGCTTCAAGCTGTTTCTCGAGTTGCTGTTTACGAAGCTTTATCCGAGCGTTTTCCTTTTCTATACCCTTAACAAAGTCTTTTACGTCACCGGGGCTTCAAACAGACCTTCAGTTTATAATACACGGTTACGAGGATTTCACTCACTTGAACCTATTTTCGAGGTCATAAAGATCCCTGTAACCCATAGCCCAGATTTCAGTTAGCGCTTCTGAACCAAGTTTGTGCGGGTATTCCTCCATAGGCTCTCGCATCTTTGCACGAATTGGCGCGGTCTCTTCAAAAAGAGAAACGGGAAGGGGAGCCTTGTCGAAAGGACTGCATAAATCGTTCTTCCAACGTACCTGGAACAAGAATCTTAGTCAAGTGTCGACGAGAAAGAAGATGAAAGACCTACCCAGTTTTTCTCTCGCTCCAATGTCGTCTGGACGGTCTCTGTGAAAGCTTTTGCGTTTGGAGAGGTCTGACGCATTTCATCATACACTCGCGTTATAGTTTCTTGTACCCATTTCGCGTCATCTGGTTGAAGCGTGAAATCCATCTGCAAAGATCGATTGCGAGGTGTGGCCCAGTTTTGCTTCTCCGCCGCCGTAAATTGCAGAACATGTGTCAGGAGAATCAATAGCTGGAAAAGCACCTGCCGCCGAAATTGCGTATCTGCAATCTTTGCTAAAGTCAGTAATCGCACCGCATACTGCAAGGGACTAGATCTTACTTCAAGGTCGAGAAGCTCGGGGCTAGTGAGGAACTTCGCAAAGAAGTACTTGCGGTCTCCGTCATCCATTGTCGCTGTCGGAGTGGATTCTCGCTTACGCTTCAGAGCCCCAGCCACAACCTTACTCCCCATCATAGCTCTCTCCTTTATTGTGGCTTCCTTAATAACCGGCATAACGGTATTCACTGCAGTCTTGAATTCTGCAAAAGCATTAGGTTCTGTTGCAAAGATGGACGGTCGGGAAAATGGGAGCTGTAAGGACCAGAACGTATTGTACAGTTCTAATTTCAGGGTGAGGTTGATGCGTAAAATGTGTAAGATAACGTTGATGCAGACCTTCTTTCTTTTCCTCTTCAGTTTTCTCTGCAGCAGGAGCCTGAGTTTGAGGCCTGTCTTCATCCATTTTGTCTGAAGCATCGCCTTTCTCTTCTTCCTTCACTTCCGCTTTCACCTCAGCATCTACTTTCCCTGCTTCTCGCCCCGAAGCTGCTTCATCAACCTCCATTTTCTCTTCGACAGCTGCCCTTTTGAAGGATACTGGTTCCCATTGCGGACCGTAGTCACCACGAAGATTGACCCCACTACGATCGCCAAGAGGGAAAACGGCACTTAAGAAAGTCAAGATTCGTCCACAGAAGGTCGTGGTATTGCCGGCCCTAGAAAGGCGTCGAAGGAGATCATTGAGCATACGCAGCAGTACGAGGGCCTTTCCCTTCTGCGGTACCATTCCTTCCGTTAAACGTGCAGAACGGCGCTCAATCCAAGAGAATATGTGAGAACAAGACGCGACCGTCTGTGTCTCCAAAAGGTCCTCGAGAACGGTGAACATGAACATTGGGTCGCATGCTTCACGCTCGGTAAACGTAAGTATAACATCGAGTCTGTCGCATAATGAGTCGTAGTACGATCCATCCGGGTCGGCCAAGAAAGATCCTTCGTGTTCTGCAAGCTCGTAGACCTTGTTCCGAAGTAAGTATTCCCACTGGCTTTTCCTGTTGTCGGACGAGGTGTGCTGTTTTGATTCTTCTATGGCGTCGTCGACAAACTTGTCTAGTACATCCTTTGCGATTGGATGCGGTGGAAGAGACGAGATGAGCCCCTCGAGAATGTCGGACAAAGAGAACATTTAGGACAAGAATAATTCGACGTCAGTGACTCGGTGAGGCGTCTTTCAAAATAGTGTCCCGGGTTCGTTCCCTTCAATTTCCCGATTTGAACACAAAACCACCAAGGCGTTGTCCAAAATAGGGAATAATGATCTACGCCAGTTGTCCCAAAATTTTAATTAGATAGACATCTCAACTCTGCTTGCTTCCGTCACGTCACGGAGTCGTTCCGTCATTAATCCTCATAACGATTCTTACTTCAATCCTTAGTCTGAGCTAAAGATATGGTCAAACGACCATCTGCAGTGGATCTCTGGCCCGACGATCCGGCGGATTCCATCCCTCGTTTGACGGAACCTCCAGTCCAGGTACCTGTACCCGGACCTCGAATACCAGCACCAGACCAAGATGAAGATTCAGATGAAGACAATGAAAACGATGAATCAGATAATGACCCAGCTGAGAGTCAGGCAAAGCAAAAGGATCTAAATCCAACTTGTGTAACACCGTTAGTGGCCGCCCTAGCAAAGACCATCTACAGAGATCTTCTCGTTGCCGGGGATCCTATTACTTCTGTCGATACAGTACTAAAAAGCAACTTTGTATCGAATCCGGAATACATCGAGTTCATGGATCGTTTATTGGAGCTCGTTCATGCAATGCCATTTGATCCTGTATTTGACGATCGATATAGGCTGGCAAGAAGAAGCCACCAAAATTACTACTCATACTACAGAGCAGTGACTGTCAATACAATTCTGTACCAGGTCAGGGAATTCTTAAAAAAATACAAGTATAACTTTAAACATCTGATATTCTGCAGGTTAATGACGTTGTGATCGTTCCCGCCGGAGAAGATGGGCAGCACCCCGTGCCATATTACCCAGTCCAGGCACCGAGGACTAGGCCGTTTGCCTTTGCAGGCGACCTTTTCTGGCAAGTATCAGCGCGTTCCTACACTTGAAGAGGCTAAGAGTACAAAAGGTTCGGAAGAATACTCTCAATTAAAAGGGAGACGCGAACAGCACATGTACAATGGTTTCAACATGGCGCAAAGACAATGCTCGAGGAACTCGCCCATCCCCAGGAGCTTTTCCTCACCAACATGTGTGGAGACATCAATATTGCCTCATTCCTTGCTCGATGCCAATGTAGGAAGGTTTCACCAGGAGACCGTCCCGGGTCTCGAAATAACGACACAATTGGACACACTGAATTTTTCTATTCGTATGTTAGGATCCATTTGTTCCTTGTATTCTATTGAAGTACTTTTTACAGGCTTTCTTATATCCAAGAAGATGTTATCCTTAGGGATATATCTGAAGTCGAAGATGATCCAGGCAAATTCGTTAGGCGCATAGGCGCTTGTGGCCTTTGTGCAGCCAGGGAGAAGGACTTGATTCGGAAAAATGAAGATTGTAGCCGACTCCCTCCTGGTGAAGACGTCGGGTTCGAGCGCAATGGCGTTGCGTATCATGTATACGACGTGGTATTAATAAAGGAAGAACAGTCTGGACCTTGTTTGATCGGCCAAATTACGTCTATCGATGAACTCGCGGAGGGTTTCAGTCTCACTTTGCAGGTTTTTGAGAGATTCAACGATATAACAAGGGTGGGCGATAACGTAGAAGCAGAACAATACGAGGTATGTCAGTTGAAGGACATTGTGCCATGGTTTTCTTCAATTAAACACATCTGTAGGAAAGACACCTGTTCCTCACTGATAGGAAAGTGTCCGTGCACTCCGATAGACTGATAAGTAAAGCATTTGTCCTGCATAAGAGATCGGCGAAGAAACTTCGATTACGAGGCTGGCTGGAATCTGACCCGAACCATTTCTACATCACAAAAACTGCGCCATCAAAGGACCGTGCTTCTCTGGGCGTCATGAGCCCGGTCGCATCCGAGGAGTTTTACCTTTGTGAGCCATGTGTCCGGGAAGAAATCGATAAAACATTCGATTTCCTCAGCTGGAAGGAGAATATGAAGGTGCATCCATTGCGTATTTTTGATCCTTTCGGCGGCTGCGGCGCGTTCGCAATGGGCGCATGCGATGCCGGAAACATGAAGTTCACGCATACAGTCGAAAAAAATACAAGCGCGGCGGCTACTATCAGGTTTTTCCATCCCTTGTTCTCCGTAATTTGCTGTTGGTCTGATTACTCTATAAAAGGTTGAATAGCCCGGATACCATTGTTTACAATCAGTGTGCGAACAAGATGTTAGAATACGCGGTATCCCGAGCGAACGGATCGAACATGACTCTAAACGATTTGCTTACTGGCGAAGCCTTGCCCGCACCACCACAGCGCGAGGAGATAGACTGTATCGTATCTGGCTTCCCCTGGTAAGTAGCTCTTGTTATTATCATCACATCGGACTAACTCGAGCATTAACAGCCAGCCGCACTCGCGGATGAATAGGTATCCGCGAGCAACCGACCTGGTGAATGAGTTATATCTCACCACTATTTCATGGGTAGAGCATCTCTGCCCGAAATATTGTCTCTTCGAAAACGTCCCTGGATTCATACAGCACAGAATCGGAGCGACTCAAATAGATCAACATACAATACAAGGTGGTATTATTCAAGGCGGAATTAAACTCACGTAAGTCATTTATGTCGTTGAATACTCGGCTACTTACACTCGATTATGGCATGTCAGGTGTAGAACTCTGACAGCATTGGGGTAAGTGTACTTCAATTAGTATATAGAGATTTTACACCTTCTTGGAAACCAGCTATCAAGTACGATTCGCTACGCTTCAGGCGGCGCATTACGGTACCCCACAGAGACGAAAGCGCTTCTTCCTATGGGCTGCTCGCACTGGGCTCCCACTTCCAGACCTTCCACCACGAACACACGAATTTCCTGCCACAAAGTCGCTAGCTATAAGATGTAGCAATGGGGATGTTGCCGGTTCAGTATCCTGTGAGACTGGAACCGCTCCGATGCCGATGGTAACCGTTGCGGACGCAATCTCGGATCTGAAGCGTTGGGATTGGTAATTTCCTTCTCAATACGTGCCTTTCAAGTTTATGAACTTACAAGAACGATAATGAAGGGAGAATCCACATAAGGAATATAAAGAAACAGCGCACGATCGGCGTGAACGAGAAGCACGACGGCACATTGTACAGGTGCGAAGCCATCCAGGTGATGGAGGCTGCGGGATTGGCGGAGTAGAGTACGAGCACGAACCACGTACCGCGTACCAGGCTCGATGCCGAAGGCGACCTGCCAGTGAACTTCAGCATGTGACATACTGTTTCAACGACATCACAATTGAGGCTACTGTCAACGTTCCCCTCGAAGGTGGTTCGAGCTTCAAAGGTTTGTAGTCCTGCAGTCGAAGCGGTTATCGACAGTGACCAGTATCGGTTGCAGACTTGAACCACAAACCCAAGCTCTGGAAGGAACGGATCAACCCATTGTCCGCCAATGCGCGGCATGGATATAAAACTCGTGAGTCTAACATAAAAACATGCCAAGCGGATCAGTTCTGACAGTGTGCAAAAGATATGTTTGTACGGTTAGAAGCCGACAAGTGCTTTAACACAATAGTAACGAACATAGGTCCAACGGCGAAACAGAGCAAAGTCCTCAATCCTTGGGTAAGCCTACTATATGCACCAGAACGGAGAGTATGCCGAAATGATCTTCTTCTACTGTAGTGCAAGCGACTGGTGACAGTGCGTGAACTGGCACGATCGCAAGGATTCCCAGACGCCTTTGAGTTTAAAGCACTAGATCTCAAAATTAAGACAGTAAGCATCGCGAATAACTAGTTAGCAATTCTCGCATTTTGACTGATTGTTTAACCTTAAGATGCATGAGATGATTGGCAATGCCGTGCCATGGCCGCTGAGCGTGGCCCTTGGAAGGGAGCTTGAGCGGGCGTGGTACAAGGAGACGGCAACGGCAGAAGTCGACAACGATGATGAAGAAATGGAATACTAACATTACTTCCCCAAGTCGGATTCATACTAGTGGAAGCGGAATTATGTTTCTGTATTGATTGAATTCTAACTGATTACTGAAGCGTAGTTTTTGTATTTTGATCTGGGGGTACACGCATTTTTTTTTACATTTCTTCAAATTCTTGCATATTTTCGGCGATGACGCATCGCTTACGTACGTGACGTCATCACTTGTATCCCGACTTTTGGTCACGCGCAAATTCAGCTTTGTAGGATACACGCTAGAGTGCGGAATGCCGGGGACAGGCAGTCTGAGTCTCCGTATCGTGTTTTGCATACAAATTCGTTATCTGGCCTGTTTTGCTCATCAGCTGAGGTCGGATGAGGTATGCTTGGAGGAATGCACGTGGCGAGCGTTTCAGGCTGTTTAGATTACAGACCGGCATGTGATAACATACACATAAAGTTCAAAAGGAAAGAAAACCAAGAAGGGCCATGACTGGAGAGGCTCATAAGCATATGCTTTACGGTAAAATTTGCGTGTAAATTTTCAGGCATTCAATGAGAGAAGAGTGCGGAGAGGAGAGACAAGTTGGTGCAAACGTATTCATTTAACCAGGATGATCGAGATATCCATAAAAGGCAGTGTGGGGTCTGCCATGTGTAGGTAGGGTTTCTGCACGTGTGCAAAGTAGGCTGGTGTGGGTGGCCGAAGAGAAGTCATAAACAGCGTCATAGTCGACCAGTGCTTGCTGAGTGCAATCATCCTCTCCCCATCGACAGTCGACACCGTCAGTGCTGGCGTTAGCGTCCGAGGCAGCACAGGCTTCCCAGCATCCGCGCATCTCAACAAGTCGTTGCTTGCCACTCATTGGCCATTGCAGCCGCCGAGGACCGACAGGTCCAGATCGTGCCTTGTCACTTGCCTCTTGCCCTACTCCACCTTTGCTCGCTCTTTCTTTCTCCCGGTCAAAACACTGCTTTTGACCTCGTCGACGCAGTTGGGAAGAAGTGCGAATAGCCAGCCATGTCTTTCGTCAAGCTCAGCATCTTCGGCACGTCCTTCGAGGTATGCGCTCGTTGTATGCATGGTGGCGCCGTTGTTTATCATCATTTCTTGCCGTCTCGTTCACCAGGTCACCACTCGCTATGTGGATCTCCAACCAGTTGGAATGGGTGAGCTTGATTTTTGCTGGATACACTGCGACAGGCGTCTGATGACTATCGATCACTGCAGGCGCTTTCGGCCTTGTGTGGTGAGCCCGACATATTCTGATCAGTCAGCACAAAGATACTGCGATGCTAAGGTAGACTTTGTTCACGCACGCAGTTCGGCCAAGGATCAACTCACGGGCGCATCTGTCGCCGTCAAGAAGATCATGAAACCCTTTAGTACTCCTGTACTCGCCAAGCGGACATATCGAGAATTAAAGCTGTTGAAGCACATCCAACACGAGAACGTACGTCATTATCTGGCTCTTTTCGTACTTTTGCCCATCTGATCTTGTGAAAAAGATAATCAGCTTGAGTGACGTATTCATCTCGCCTTTGGAGGACATGTAAGTCGTTCACTCTTATGTGGCATTTAATCGACTAAGGCGTTACATAGCTACTTTGTCACTGAGCTGCTTGGCACTGATCTTCACCGGCTTTTGACCTCGCGACCGTTGGAAAAGCAATTTATTCAGTATTTCCTCTACCAAATTCTTGTGAGTATACGTAATGTGCTTCCATCTTACGCGTCTCATTTTTTGCACAGAGAGGTCTCAAATACGTGCACTCTGCCGGGGTGGTGCATCGTGATTTGGTAAGTTGTTATCCTTTTTCGAGGTTTACTCTTATTCATCACTTCTGTTCATCAAACTGCTCTAGAAACCGAGTAATATTCTCGTCAACGAGAACTGTGATCTTAGGGTGTGTTGAAATATTCCTTAAGCAAATGACTAGATACTAAGGCTTCTCGTCAGATCTGTGACTTTGGGCTTGCTCGAATTCAAGATCCTCAGATGACTGGCTATGTATCGACACGCTATTACAGGGCGCCTGAGATCATGTTGACTTGGCAAAAATACGATGTCGCAGTTGACATTTGGAGCGCCGGATGTATTTTCGCAGAAATGTTGGAAGGCAAACCTCTCTTCCCTGGGAAAGACCGTAAGCATCTAGCTGTCTGAGTCTCGTTAAGTGTTAATGTCGATTGCATCTCAAGACGTTAATCAATTTTCTATTATAACTGAACTTCTTGGAACACCGCCTGACGATGTAATCGCAACTATTGCAAGTGAAAACGTGAGTCATCCTGATTGACTGCTTACGCGTTTCCTGAACTAATTGTTATAAAACGATGTAGACTTTGCGCTTCGTTCAGAGCCTGCCGAAGCGTGAGCGCGTACCATTCAAGCAGAAGCTGAAGTGCCAGGATGAGTCTGGTCAGCACATCACCACCCGTATAAACTGACAGTATGCTGACATTTTTCCTAGCTCTCGACCTGCTCGAGAAGATGCTCGTCTTCGATCCGCGCAGACGTATAAATGCCACAGAATCGCTGGCGCATGAGTATGTTGCGCCTTATCACGACCCAACGGACGAGCCAGAGGCATCGGAGAAATTCGATTGGAGTTTTAACGATGCTGATCTGCCGGTAGACACATGGAAGGTTATGATGTATAGTGAAATTCTCGGTATGTACATACATTCCTCTCTAAGGTGCTTTGCACTCAACGTGTCACAGATTTCCATCAAGTCGGGGAGTCAACACTTTTAGATGGAGACAATATACCCGAGGGGTCACTAGCTGGTCCTGACAAGGATGGGGAGATTGTAGGATCGGGCCCGAGTAGTGTAGAGGAAGCTGCTGTGCCGACCATACAGCCTTCAGCCCAAGCAGGGGCATGAACGAAGAGAAATGAAGTAATATCTCTCCTTTGCTAGTGCCTCCAGGTTCTAATTATCTGTTCCGATCGTACTTAGCATTTCCGCTTTAATGGTCTTCTTGGTCACGTTTCGGTCCTATTGACGATAAACGGTCAGCACACTTCCAGCAATTATCTCATTGGTGCATCCCGTCGTATACCATATTGTACTCTTAATGGACCTTGAATTCGCCACTCGACTGTTTCGCTCACTACTACAGTCCTGCTTGTTCTGCACCTGTTCTATTGTCGCCTGATCCACATTCCTGTCATTTTTTCTTCCTCCTTGACCACTTCTAATTCCAGTTCTTCATTATGTCTCATTCCTTCTTCGGTCTTGGAGATCTTGGATTGGGCTTTTGCGTTTCACGAATCTGTTACAAGTATCCCTGCTCTGGCGTAAAAATTGAAGGTTGTAAACAAGAGTAGCAGTATATTTGTACAGCATGTACTAGATCCCAATCACATAAACGACTTTCTTGGGATGTCTCTGAGTGAGCCAGTGTGTTAAACCTCAGAAACTCAAAAATACTAACAGCATGGATAAATTGAATTGAAATGTAATGCTACGTAATACTCACGTGGCACTGCGCATACACCTAAATAAAGATAATTCTGCCACAGCGCGACGGTCTCACCAGCTACACGACCATGCAATCACTGCGCACTCGGCGGCCCTCAGACGGCCAGCGCCAGAAGGCGCCCCGTCAGCAGCAGAAACTCTCGAAGTCACCGTCCATGGCGTCCTCAATGAAGCAGCGAAGTCGGAGTACGCGCAAGTCACGCGTTGATGACAAGATTCGAAAGCGGATGAGCATGCGGTATGCGGATATATCGGCCCCGACTTTGACCGGGGAGGGAGGAGCGCCTGCTGTTCCCGCGTTGCCGATTGGTGCGTATGGTGCTGGAGGTGTTGGTGGGAGAGGGGCAGGAGTCGGAGGCGCTTATGGATACGGATATGACGACGAGGGTGTGCGCAACGAGAAAGAGGCGCGGCGGGATGTACGCGAGCAGGACTTGCGTGCACTGGAGAAGGAAGGCTTTGATCCAGATGCATGTAAGCAGACTAGTGTTGCTTTGCGAAACAGTAGAAATATTAATTATTGGTTGTTCATTATGCTCCTAGTCCTAAAGCAGAAGATGGCCAACTCGACCGAAGCTGAGTTGAAAGCACTGCAGTCGTCACTGGACTCTTACAAGAGCGATACGAACGTTGACCTTCAGCGAAATGTCTTCAAGAAGTATGTATTTATGAGCTTCCTTGCCGAGATTGCAACAATTGTAACTTTTACTATTCCAGTTATGTAGAGTTCATGACTATTTCAAAAGAAATCAGCACTCTTGAAAACGACATGCTTGAACTAAAGGCGAGCCTTTCAGAATGGAAAAGTATGCCTGGCCTTCTGCATATAGACGATTCACTTGCTGCCGTAGGTGAGAAATGGCGTGCTTTGCATTCCAATCAACGAACTAAAAGAATATAAAGATAGACGAAGGACGCAACGATCGTCCGTCACGGACTTGCGCGTTCTTTATGCGTCCCAGATGCAAACGCTTCACTCTCAGATTGAAGGCTCGTCAAAATTTGTGCCAGCGACCCCGGGTCGGCACATCGTTACTCAAATGGAGGGGATCTGCAGCCTTAACCCCGCGACGTACAAGGTTGAGCACCTTGTGAAGTTCGTGTTGCTGGACGATGCGGTACTAGTCGCTCGAAAACGAGCACGGCGCACGGCGGACCGGCCAAACCTTGTCGCTGAGCGCTGTTGGCCATTAAATGATATTCTAGTCCTAGACACAAAAGATACCGCGAGTACGTGCATTCTCGGACACTTAGAAATCTTGAATCTACTGATATGCTCCAGCGATGACGAACGTCTTCAAAATCAGAAACAATAAGGAAACGTTTGTCTATAGATGCGATCTTAGCGGAGACAAGAAGATCCTGCTTGCTCAGTTCCGACAGGTAGCGGAGGAACTTTCTGCGAGAAAGCGCAAGGAGCGCGAAGGTGAACACGAGCGAAGAAAAAGCTTGTGGGTCGGAGGTGGTGATGTACGTCTGTCCCCCACAACGTTGTTCTCGAGCTTCGTTGATGATATTCATTCCCTTTTTTAGCGAAGGTCCTTCGCGTTTGATATGGACACTGCGACTGCAGAATGGATGAACAATTTAGCACTACACAGTGGATTAGGCGCCCAAGAGAAGTCCGACGAAGACGCTCTTTGGGTCGGTGAGCTTACAGACAAACTAACTGTAGCGATTGCACTCCGAGAGTGGGACAAATCTGTGTCCCTCGTAGAAGAAGGTGATTGCATCGTGTCCTTCATGACTTGCAGCACTAACAGCTGTATCAGGTGAGGCGAAGAAAGGCACAACGCCCCAGCTCGAACCCAAAATGAAGATCTTGCGTGCATCACTAACAACATCACTGTTGGCCGCGCTCTCTGACCCAAGCAATCGTAAATCAACTGTCGTCAATCTGACTTCGCTATTGAACCGCCTACATGCTTCCGCTGCCGCAAGGAATGCTTTCCTTGCATCTCGCGCTGCGCTAACACGTCAGCGGATTCGGATGATCCGATTTGAAGGACACGTGCAGATGTACATAAATGATCTTGCTACCGTTGTGTTCACCGGCATAAAGCACACCGCCGATTGGTTTTTAGCTAGTTTCAAGGAAAATGATGCTACTTCATGTAAGTTGCCGCTTTACCACGCTCTTCAGATTTCGTTAGAACCCTTTTACGCAGGCTTTGTCGAATGGGCGAAAACTCAAATCGGCCTGTACGCCGACATGTTCCGCAAACAGGTATTCAGTTCGGACGTAGATGACGAGACCGTACGCAAGTGCATTTCCACGACGCATACACAGAACAAGAAGGTATAGTGAAGTATTGCCTTATTTGCAGACCCGCCTTAACACTAATATCAATAGTTGCTTCACGAATTCGGCTTGGATTTCCATTTTTTGTTGGATGAGCTGCTGGTACCGAATCCCTCAAAGGAGGCCTCTCCATTGGACATCAACCCGTCAATCTCTGTGCAAGAACCGAGTGAATCTCGTCCGTCGCGGGTTGCGCGAGTTCCTGCTTCACCAGCTCCACCACCGCGATCTCGAGATCGCCCACTGAGTGTATTGTATGATAATAAGTTCTGATTTCGCTTCCCATGACTCTGTACGCTATCGGGGAAGCTTTGTACTTTCTGCCTTTGCATACTAGCATGTAGGTATAGACGGAAATTAAAGTATCTACTTTTGGGGGCTTGCTTCTATAGCAATTATAAATCGCGTGAATTCATCCGGAAGGACTGTCCCCTTCTCTCCGTATTGTAAATAATAGTGTGTGAAAAATGGATGACTCCCTTTCTCTTTGGTGCATCTTATTTTGTATCATTGACAGTCTGCAGCAGACACCACACAATGGACCCACTGCCACCCTTCTTACTTCTTCAAGGACTGGAAAGTCAGGTCTTCAAAGCTATGCATTCAGAGAATAACATGGGCCTTTTGATAACTTTATTGATTCAGTCTGATTCATCTCATTTCAGTGCATGTGTCCCCTTACTTGTAAGCAACACATTTGAGCAGGAAGGAACAACTGCTTCATACTAAATTTGCTCGCACTCTGCATAATCAGCTTCTGCAAGACGCCACAAAGCTGTTGTCAATTTTTAAAAAGTAATATCAACACGTTTATTAAATTTCTTCCGGTCGGGATAGGAATGAATGCATTGCCACAATTAGTTAGCTGCTGTGCCGAAGTGAGGACCTGATGATCAGATATGACTGATGCGAGAAGAATCACTTCCTGAGAAGGAGGTCCCGTCCCAAGTTAAGCGAGATCTCCTTTTATCCTCGAGGTACCTAAGTAAGCGCAATGATCAAAATGAGGTTGTTAACACGTGTACCTATTGACATGGATGGCTGTGAAGCTTAAGCAGTGCCCCGTAATATGCCTTCCCCTCGTGAATAAGCATGATATCAACAAGCCTAGGGCCACATTCCACGGATTCGAAAAACACGAGCTCATTGAAACCACCGGCCCGCAGTAATTCATTCCGCGGCATTAAGCCTGTGATACCAGCATCACCGCAAGGTCCTGTACAAGTCATCGCACCTCACTCAGGTGGGATCGACACATGTGACGGAACACCGTGACCAAGAGCCACATTTGTGTAAAGTATGTAGACTGTACCGCAACCTCTTCTTGAACTAATCTCAAGAGTCTATAACAGTTCGAAAATCTCTCCCTCGATACTATTAGACGCTTACTAGTACTTCTCGAGGAATAATGGGCTCGTGGCCACATGCAGAGTCAAGGAACGACTTTTTCTAGAAGGGATTGTTCTGCTTGCGGGAAGATAAAGCGATCTCGCTTAAATCTGCTTTACGCTTAACGTGTCTGTCGTCCAGTGGCCAAGTCCTAGAGCTCAACTCCTTTCTTCTCAAAAATTCTGATAAATACTTTCAATCTCAGACTACCGTAACAATGACAGATGCTGTTCATGTCCCCTAACTTCTACCTGTATTTGTACTTCCACATAATCACAGAGGACTGCGATCTACTTGCAGTGCTTCCGTCTACAAGATCTAGATCCAGAGCACACACCTATAACGATTGTAAGCGCCTATTTTTTTGTTTCTTTACATCTAGAATACTGTGACTCGTCGAAAGAGCCTTCTTTATCCGTTTTGGTGGTCCCCACGCTGCTGCTGCACCTAAGAAGACAGGGTCCTTGATCAGACTATTAAAGAGACCAGTAGCTCCATCGATGAATATTATTCAACTTTTCGACCCACAGCTCACGCTCAGCCACACATATGTCTGCCAACAACACGTTCCAACATGTCGTTCCCCTGCAGGCCGACGAGGATTTCCAACTGATCCTCGACCAGCACATACAAGAATTTATGTGGCAGAGGTATTCGGAAGCTCCACCCGCAGGCAGCTATGAATGGCCACTGACATACGGAACTGATGGGACAGTTGCCTATGGCAGCCAAGAGCTGTATCCAGCAGCCGATGGATTCTTTGCATGGACTGGCCTAGCTGAGAATACTAGGCTTGAGGCCGATACTTCTTCATTTGCTCCCTTCATCTTTGATCCGTCCAATGGACAGGGTACAAGCAGTTCAGCAACTTCACAAGACCGCTCCATGCCTATGACGGACGAACCATCTGATCTAGGTGGTCAAAGTTGGGAGGTCTGCTCTTCACCTCCAACAGAGTACAATGAATCGTGTTGTGAGTCGGAGGACCCGATGACGCCGTTTGTGAGTAACAGTAACATATCGTACCCGCTTGTTGGGAGCCCCACTTACTTGTCCTCTTTCAAATCACTCTTGGATAACGTATGGAACTCTGGTACAATACACTGTTCAGTCCGATGGCTTGTCCGCAGCCACTCCCGCAGAGGTCCCAGAGGTCCCGGAGGCAGAAGGAATGGTCGGCCAGCTTGAAGGCGTTGAGGTGACTCCTGAGACACAGCGTGCGTTTACCATACCTTCCATACTTTCCTTTGGCAGAAAGTTAACTAACCATCAGCCACAGGAGGTACAGATGAACGTAACCTCAACAACGCGAATGACAAGCCGTATGGGTGCCCACACCACGGTTGCACGTGGCGGTTCAAACGGAGGCATGACTGGAAAAGTATGGTATCTTGTGTCACTCCCCATCATGCGCGCTTACAAGCAATGTCAAACAGGGCATATTAGAACTATTCATACGCGGGAGGAGATTTACATGTGTACCATTTGCCCTAGGAAGTTTGTGCGGTCGGATCCATTGGGGAAGCATTTGCGTGACGAGCATGGAATCCAAAAGCAGAGGGGGAAACATAAGTCGAGGAAGGCAAAAAAGCTTTAGTTTGGGGCAGCAAAGAGGCGGAGATAGTTTCTTGTTCTCGGTTATGGGACTTCTCATGGCATTGCCAACACACCATTCTGTATTTCTTCATATACAACACAAAACATACTTTTCCTAGTAAAACCACACGACTCATTAATAAATTATTATCAAAGACTGTATTATTGTGCACGTAGGACTTGAGGCTACTGGCAAGAGTCTAGTGTTGCAGGAATCCATATTTGAGGCTCCGCTTGAAACTTATGTAATACGAGATCGACCTCTCCCACACTCTCGGCTCAGCTCAGACAAACTCCTGCTTACTCCTAGTATAGAGATGGCCCTCCATTGACTGCTGTCTCTATATGATCATCGTCTTTATTCATAAAATCAAACGCTCATATATCAGTGTGTCCTTATAGTGTTTGAATGATAGCAATAGTGCACTCGACCATTTTTGTACAATCATCCACACTAATTTCAAATCTACAGTCTTGCTGGCTCTATAAATCGTTTATACTACGTTATCTTCATTGACATTAGAGAAACCCTTCTCCGGAGCTCCATTTGGGAATTCGGGGAAATATCGCGAATTCAAAGAATCAGTCTATGCCAACGCCCTCGTTCGAATTCAGTAACGGTAGTTACTTCTCCCCGTGCAGCACAATTCAATGGATGTCGCGATGGAATAAACATATCATAACGGTACGCTTTAGCCCCTTCCGTGGTCCGCGGTGACGCTAACTTCACATTTGCCAGCCGTAACAGAAAGAAGAGCATTGAGATACAGCTACTCAATTAAACAGACAGCGCTGCTATACACCCTTGATCCTCTTGAATCCCATTGTTCTAGTGGCGCTAAATAACAATGTAGATCCGGTAAAATGGGACTCTATCGGAGAAACATAACACACCGAACCGGCTAATCGATCACTTGCGATACAGGTCTCTCGTTCCGCCGATAGAGCAAATAAGGGCTGAGATGATTTCTCTCGCACAACGTCGTCTTCCCGCACCGTCCCGCGGCAAGTAGAATGAGGGGCTAGAATGAGTACAAGATGTAGGGAAGTCTGAAATATTGTATGTTTCTTATGTCAACGTCGTAGGTGTTACGATAGTTGTTGCACTACTTGACCATATGACTTTATTTGCGAACACACTGGAGATACTCTCAAACCAAAGGTATGACTTTTCTGTGAAACAGATGTGCGAGTACGGGGCACAATACCACTTAGCAGCTTCTTCGGAAATAATTATATGCATTCCCCACACACCGATATTGCTGGATAACAGAGCATTAGTTAATTGTTTCTACAAGCTTCGATGCAAATAGAGGTCCTCGGACTACTCACAAAATAATTACCTGCATGTAATTCTGTCAGCATTTAAGCGCCCAGAGCCTCAGAGACTCGGAAGGCTCGGCCATTCACACATCCGGGGCTTGCTGTATCTAGTTCAAAAGGTATGTAAACACCTGTCTCCATGGGATGCATCAGAGCACGACTTGAGTCCCATGCACGAGCGTAGAGTGGAAGGCACAAGTGAATGGCCACAGAGATTCTCAATCAACTCATCACAACTGCATAATCGGTGCTCTCTGACTGTAGAGAAGGATTAATTTATAATCCAGGAGGAATGGAAATCCGATCGGCAATACTTAAGTAGCATATGTGTAACCAAAGGTTAAATTATTGTGCCGTAATGTATGACTGTGAAGGGCGATCTTTCGAACCGCTGACTTAGGTTCTTCAAGTTCTTTTGTCCTTTGTGGTCTCCTACCTAGCGCATATCACCAATTGTATACTGCAAAAACGAGTTCGGGTTAGCACACCTTAAGATTAACACACAGAAGACAAGTCTGATGCATGAAACGTGTCTACTTCTGCTCATTTGGGTACAGCTGCGAGCATGAAGGGAAAGGACGTTGAGACACCATCCCCTTCAGAGTTCTGTCTATTGTAGCAAGTGATATAAAAGGAATAATAACTGCTTCTGGTTAGTGGTTTCTGAGTGAAGGATACAGTTTCCTCGCTGCTTCGCCCCTCATATCTCTTGTTTTGGACAATGACAGTGTGAGATGACCCGACCAATTGATGTTACAATCAATCCTTCCAATCCCACACTGGCGCTCTGCAAAAATCCTATAAAACATTCGGCGATTGAAACATCCCCTCGGAACTGTTATAAGCCTCTTCAAGTGCTGCTTTACGATTATAGCTTGCCCTCCTCTGGCCGTGCTGTAAACCCTTCATGGATCCTACGACATTTATTCCTTTTGATCCTCCTGTTACTGTCTACCCGCACAGCAGTCATATGGAAGCGACAAGTGAGACGGAATTCCTTATGCACAGATTAGAGGTCTTACTCTCCTGGTAACTGAGCAGATCAATTTCGCCTGGTCCTACTCTCACTTGATCTCGAGCAGCAAGAACAGTGCCTATGCACTACCTACAGACAGCTATGCTGTACCCATATCCGCACCTTTGCATCGATCGCGTAAAGTATTTGAACTCGATACTGGAGAAGAAGAATCAATTCAATCGATAAACGTGCATTCTCCCGCCAATTGTAATGAGCACTGCCAGTGGCCCCTCAAGGGATCTGTCGGTCCCCTAACTGTAGAATCGGTCGACCCGAGCCTGAAGGCTGATACTAGGAAGCAGAACATTGCCATCTCCAGTAAGTATATTTCAAAATGCTGTAAATAGATACTAGTGATACGCACGGTCAGGTTGTGACCTGCTTTGACCCTGACCTGACCCCGACCTGACCCATTTTGACCTGACCCAGTATGCTAGGTCAGGCCAGGTCAAATTTGGGTCAGGTCATAGGTCAGCCTTCTCCCAAATTTTCCTAACCCACTTTGACCCGACCTGACCTTGACCTGACCTGTAACCTATATATAGATAATGTTATTAAAATACACTTACTTATAATAGACAAATATAATATATTAAGGTACATTTAATATGATATTAGAGGATTGTAACCAAAAATCAAGCTAATAGCAGAAATATACTTTTCTTACAATTAAAGATTTACATTTTAAGAAACTTCTATTAAACTTTAAGTATATACTCTGTCTAAATAACATAAACACATTTAAGTATAAGTTGATAGTAGATGCTAGAATAGAGGTCTAGAACAAAATTATAGATTAGCTTTTATTAGAAGTAGAACAAAGTATTCTATTTGTATAGTATAGTAAAGCTTAGAAAGAGTACAGTTATAACAACCATTATAGAGTACTATTATAAGATACTATACCTTAATACATACTAGTTTTCAATTGAGTAGATAATACTGACTCTACTAAGAATTAGCTCACCTCTATCTTTTAAAAGATAGTATTCTAGCTAGCCTTGTTTGATTTGTCTATTATAAAGTACATTAAGACTACTATTTAGAGAAGTGATTGTATTATAGAGGCTGTTACTACTAAGGTACAGTTCAAGAGACTCATTAATACAGTATTATTATCAAATGTAAATAAGTCTGTGTACAAACTTGTGTTAGATTTAGACTCAGATAATAGTTGACAAGATGTTCTATAATACATTAATTATAAGATGAAAGTCAGTCTTAAGAACTTAGGACTTAAGATACTAAATAAATAGAGTACATATAGGAAACACCTTATAATACATCTTAGAGACTCTTTATTTAGGTTTTAACAGTAATTAAGCTAGTTAAGGACAATCCCAGCCTATCTAAAGAACTTAAGAGTATTATTAAGAAATTATGTTTGCTTATTGTCCTTAACCAGTTGTACAAATATGTATTTAATATATATAACTTCTAGAGTTGGATCAGAATGCTTTCCTTTACATATTATACACTTCTCTCAAATATATAGTCTCATTCTTTTAAGTAATATACTACTATCAGACACTATAATTTAATATAATTCTAAAGTTATTAAGTTATAACTTATTACACCTAATTCTTTTAAGCTGTAGAGTATGACTAGATATTACTAAACAATCCTTGCACAGTATAGGAGTGTATTCTCATAGTACTAGCATTTTGCTTGAGACACTAAAAGAGTAGATTACTATAGTCTGTTTAAGATTGTTCTATCTGTAAACTAAACATTATTCTTACTGTGTATACAGTTAATATAGATCTTACAAACTCATAACTCTCTATACTAGTTCAAAGTCTAACTATTTAAGGATACAACATTAGGAAAAAGTCTTAAGGCTTATATTAGCTTATAAACATATAAATTATATAAATTTTCTAAAAAATATAAAAGACCATATATTCAACCTCTTAAAATAAGAAAATTATAAAAAGCTATATAAGATACAAAAAGGTATGTACAAATTGTTAATATGAATAAGGTTTATAAGTATTAACAATATGTAAATGAACTTATATTCAACCTCCTAAAATGAAAAGATATTAAAAGAACTTTGTATTTTAACAAGAGTAATATAGTTTTATAATATATACAATCTAATATAAAGCTTTAAAAGTACTTTGTATATTGTTAAATATTATTATACTTTATAAGAGCTTTACAAGACTTTAAAATTGTTATAATACTTTACAATCCAGGTATTCATTTATTTCTCTTTTTTCCTCTTATAATTAAGTATTAACATTTTAATACACTTACATTTGTTTTATTCTACTACATTGTATTTTAATAATATTGTATTTACAAAACAAGTATGTAGACAAGTAAGAAGAAAGAAAGGAGGAAAGGAGAGTCTAGTTGTAGAGAATCATACTTTGAATATTTATCAAACTAGTCTTTACCTAAGGGACAGAATTGTTAGTAAGTACAGGTACTTGAAGTGAGGAGAGGGACACACTATAACACTGTGTAGGAAGGACAGATAGTGTACTAGGTTAAGATCCAGAGTGTTGAGCAAACTGATTTGAGTTACAGGCAAATCTGTATCTGTGTATGTATACTGTATACTCTTACTATAGTAAGTAATGGAAGGTACAGTGTACTGAGTCATTAATTGTGAGAGTGTATCTCTAGGACATCCTAATGTGAAGAGAGAAGATAATGTGGAAGTTGTGGACAGACTCAGTGTAGACAGTATGAGTAGTAGGTTAATACTTTCATTTAATACAATTCCATACCTAGTACAGAGGAATACAAATGTATGTAGTGTGGGCCTATCTAGAGTAGTTTCAAGTACTGAATGTGTAGAAAAGGAGAGTGTATACTGAGTGAGAGAGAGAGTGGCACAATGGGAGTAGCTGTACAGGGACATTGTTATAAGTATATACTCATTATTATTGTCTATACTATAGAGTAGGAAGAAGTACACAAATGTATAGAATTATTTAAGAAGTTGTTTGACATTGGTCAACAATGCAAATGTATACATGAATGTAAAAAGGTAAGTGAATGTAAAAAAGTAAGGACAGTAAAGGAGAAGTAATACAAATGGTAGAGTAAGGAGTAGAAGGGATGGAAGGGAGACAAAAAGTTGGGAGGAGAGGGATGAGCAACTATTGTGTAGACTATTATGAAGTAGGCTGGCTACTTACACTTTACACTGAAGGACAGTATTGTTAGCTAGGTTGTGTTATTATAAGATCTGAGGCTTAGTACAGGCATTGTAGTGGTAGATTAGAGAGACAAGTACAGTAATGTTTGTTACCTATGTTGTTATAGACAGAGTGCCTACTAGTAAGACACTTGTGAGTAGAGGACTCAATTAGAGAGAATAGAGGTAACAACATAGTGTTAGGGGCAGAGGGTTGGGGAGACAGTAAAGGTAGGAGGTAAAGGAGTGACAAAGAGAAATGTGTCATTATATGCTCTCAATCTTCAGCAGTTGATTACATAAGCAACTTAATATGAGTCATCAACTGATAGAATATTTCAATTATTGTATTTAGGTATAAAATAAAATTATTAATCTACTTTGTAATACAGTAAAAAGAAATATGACATGTATATAGCTTTCTAAACATACTAATGTAATTATTACAAGTAGATGAAATGCCTTTTACAATAATTGTAAACTGCTTGTATAAATAATCTAAGTATGATATACATTAATATACCTTTTGTATAAATTATAAGGCAACAATAGTAATTATTACATTATTATATTATAAGTATAACTCTTTCTTTAAGATTATAATTTAAATATAATACAAGCATAACACTTTAGGTTGTTATACAAAGTTAGTATAATACATGTAATAGATTTTTATTCATCCCTAGTACTTATGTAGTCTTTATATACATTAATATGTCTTATTTAAACATTGCAATTCAATTACAAGCCTTATAATTACTTTATAATGTATATACAATACATATGTTACTTTACAAAGTCTATAAGAAATTACAAGAAATCTGACTTTTTCCTGATGCAAGCAATTGGAGTTGTCATGAATCATCAGTTCCATGCAAGCGGCTCTTTTCAATGGCAGGGATTACAGATACAAAGCGGCGGAACAGGACAACTTCCAAATA